ACTACAATTGATTTTAACATTCAAAAATCTGTTGAATTACCACCAGATTGATTGATGACGAAGCATCAATGCATTTTACACCCTTGGTTTTAGGGCAATTTTCAAATTATTGCTGCAATGTTGCTCCCCTAACTGTCAACTGGCTTCAGAATACCCTTTTGGTCTCACGCAAGTACACATTTTTATTGTTTCACCTGGACATATGGTGGTAACTACTTCTTACCTCTAGAGGAAGTGACTTAAAAGCTGTAACAAAGTGATCAGCTGCTGTTGAGATGCCCACCAAAGCTTTCGTCTTCTCAGGTCGGGCGATAGCGGCAAGTAGCATAAGCCAGCCACCCATTCCAGAGCCCACCAAGATCTACAGCAAATAACATTAAGAAAACATATTGATAAAAAATGAACTAAATACTACATAAACTACAAATACAACAACATTACTTAATTAACCGATTACATCCAGATCAGCTATAATCAAAATCAGAATTGCTTAACATATTGCGAGTAGTAAGGAAAATAAAAAGGTCAAAAATTATTGAATACAGTGAAAAAAAAAAGTATTTGAAAGCAGTGGCAGTTGAAAGCTGTGTACATGGCTCAGCTTTTCCAAACTGTCTGAGTTATGCAACAAAGGAGGGGCCTACAAGTTCCTACTATGATTTGGATGCACACGTATAATACCAACATGCATAAATGAAAATGGAAAACGAGACTAGCGTGAAGAAAACTGTGCCAACCTGATAAAAATTTAAAACACTACTCTTAACATTCTTTGCAGAAAATTACTCCAACAGCTTATTGACCTGCATGCACCACATCAGCGACCTCTAGTGGTCATTGAAGGTCACTACTTAGCAACACTGAAAAAAGACATTAAGGAGAATATAAATAATTAAATTTAACCTGAGGTCCTTCAGCAACTTCATCTAACATAAAGAGCACATCCTTCTTCCAGGTTCCAATAGTGCCCTCTGAGAAGACGCCTTCTGAAGCTCCATGGCCTGTGTAATCGAACCTAAACAAATCACACAAACTCATTAACATCCTACACTAACATTCACTCATTTACTTATTGATATTGAAGAGGTGCCTGCTGGATGCAGAAATGCGCAATTTAATATGACTCTGAGAAATCAGGCTGCTAAGTGTCTTCAAAAGCCATGAGTGCATACTGTAGTGCAGATCAATCCCATATATTTACCTCAGATAGGAATGGCCTAATGACTTGCAGAAATCCTGTAATGCTTCTGCTTTCTGTCCACTCATATTCGAGCCATATCCAGGCAAAAACACCACTCCTGGGCTCTTGCCCTTTATTCTGCGATACGCCAGCTTTGGCAAGTCTGGCCGTGATATGTACTGTACACTGGATTTCTGTCTGGCCCCTGCAAAAGAATGCCAGACTGGGTTAATTTACAGTTTATATAAAGAAGCTTCAACTTTAAAGGCCAATATCCTACATTTTTTGAGCACTTTTGACAAGTGGAGTTTTATGTACCAAAAATAGCCATAATTCATTTTTACATTACCATTTTCCAACCTCTCTTTACCCCTCAGAATTAAACAGTCTGGATTGTTTCTTGTCTTCAAAATTGATATTTGTAAATTACCTCTGTTCTGATTGGCTGCCCTGTATTGTGCCTCTTTCAAAAAGCAGGCAGGTACTGAAACACTCCTCATAACTTCACCGTGTATGGGTGGGGTTAAACTGCTGTATGATAAATAGCCGGATAGATGTAAATACGTTTTGTACAGTTACACCTTGGGTGAACATCTAACAGAACCCATTCATTTTTTCACAGTTTGTTTGTTTTTTTGATGACATGTAATTTTAACACTTTTATTAAGAAGCTAATTTGAATTTTCTATTGTTTCCTTGGAAAAATCATTAGTCTCATGTGCCCTAAAGACAACATTTGGTTTGGCCACATGGTTTGATTTATCAGAAATTGAACAAATGATGGACTACATGGATAAAAAAAAGATATGGGCATTAATAGGTTAAGCTATAATGTTACATTATTTTTTCAACCAGCTCTTACAAGCTTTTTCAGGTGCAGCCTGATTTCATGAAGCAGGTCTAGTTGTGTATGTAGATGTGTTTTGAGATGCAGAACTTTCTATGACACTTATATCTGCTTATGGGAGAACTCCAATTCTTTTAAAATTTCTGCATAACTCAGTGGTTGAAATAAAATCAGTCATTCAGAGTGGTTTTATGTAAAATGGTTCATTGTAGAGACTTGGAGACCCCGATTTCTTTACAGTGGTGGTGATGGGAACCAGGGGGTCCTGATGTCTATAACACAGATGCAGCCATTTTATTTACTATCCAAAGCAACCAGTGAACCTATAAGTGTCTTCTGAGTTCTTTATATGTAATGTTGATGATGGTGAAATAGTGAAAAATGTGAAATATGTTTTCTTTGGGGACTATTTTACCTAAGAACACTCTTCATGTATCCCTTCACCACAAATAGATTAAAATAAACTGATTGCAATACGTTTTAGGCCACAACTTTATGACTATTTATAACTATTTCATGTAATAATTTCTCTGAGAGAGCTTTTAGAAGCATTAAACACTTCAGACGTCTGGTTCCTATCACAACCACTGTGAACATTTGTGACTCGGCAAGTTTCTCTGGAACGAAGCATTTCACAACAGACCACTCCGAATGGCTTTGTTTACATCTTAACCATTAAATTCACGCAGAAATTTTGAAAAATTGGTGGAGATGCCTTTTAATGTATGCCAGTTTTAAGTACAATATTTGATATTTACACATATAATGCTCGTACTGATAATACGAACACTCATAAAACAGCAAGTTGGATCGAAACTACACTTGGGAACTGATCGCATGTAACTGTTACAGAGTTTCAGCGTTAGGACTAAAACAGAGCGTTTTCAGCTCAACCAAAGAGGAGCAGAAACACTGTGTACATAACAGCTCACTGCTGGAGGGGCCTTTCATGCCACACCCCCTCTTTTAGCCTGGATTTTGACGACAACCAAGCCGATACTCTCCCACTTCTGAGTACAGCGACTTCCAGTCATTTAGCTTTTACTCACCCTGGATAAACTTTGTTGAAAGCAGGCCGACCGCTCCATTACCTACAGTCTGAAAAAGCCCCCTCCGCCAGTGTGTTAGCACTGCTGCTGCCATACTGCGCCACCCTCCGCGGAAGTATCGCGAGATTTGTTAGGTTGCCATGTACTGAGGAAAACATATCTTTCAGGTTGCCTGACAAGTAAAATTCACTCAAAAACTGCAATTCTGTTTTGGTTAAAGGGGAACTTCACCGATTTTTCCAAAAAATTCGACACAATTAAATGGTAGATGTAAACAAAGCCTTTTAGAGTGGTTTGGTGTGAAATGCTTCGTTTAAGAGAAACTTACAGTCAGAACTGTTCACAGAGGTGGTGATAGGAACCACTCATCCACCTCCAAAAGCTCCCTCACAGAAAGTTATTACATAAAATATAAAACACTCTGCCTGATGTCTAACACATTTTTTATGATAGTTTTATGGTTTTGAAGGTTTCGGCTTGAGATGTATTTTAATCCATTTGTTTGAATCTATTCATAGTGGAGAGGTACGTGTAGGGCATTATGAGACAAAATAGTCCCCAAATAAATTAATGACTACCATCATCATTACATATAAAAAACTCAGAAGGCACGTGTAGGATCATTGGCAGTTTTGGAAAGTAAATAAAATGGCTATATTTGTGTTGTACACATTGTGACCCCTGGTTCCTATCACCACCACTGTACAGAAACCAGAAGTCTGTAAGTTTCTTTACAATGAACCATTTCACAACAGACCGCTATGAATGACTTAAATCTCAAGGACGGAAGTATTCAAAAACTTTGAAAAATTGGTGGAATTCCCCTTTAATAGTACCAACCGGACAAAGATGTTACTTACTCTTTACTTTCTGTGCAGCCCTTTGAAAAACTCAAATGAACGTTGGTGGAGTAGTTAAATGTTCTGTTTTCAGAGTTCAAAGGGACATTCCACCGATTTTTCAAAATGCATAATTTAGTCATTGAAATGTAAACGAAGTCAATCAGAGTGGTTTGATGTGAAATTTTTCATTGTAGAGAAATTTCTTTACAACGTTGGTGAACAAGAAGTCAGGATGTGTACATCGCAAATGTAGTTAACAATTTACTTTACTATCTAAGACGACCAGTAAACCTGCACTTCTGAGAGTTTATATGTGATGCTAATAATGGTAATATATGAAAAATACATATTCTTTGGGCACTATTTTGAAGTTCATGCCAAAACCTCAAAACTATGTCTCAGACATCAGTCAGTGTATTCATAACCATTTCATGCAATAACTTTGTGATGTTGCTTTTAGAGGCATTAAATGCCTCAGACGTCTGGTTACTATCACGACCACTGTGAACAGTTATAAGAGAAACATTTAACATCAAACCGCTATGAACGACTGTTTGCATCTAAATTTCCTTTTAATCGATTTTCCTAACCTACTTAACTCATTAATGTAAATATCTTTGGTTCAAACCTCAAATCAAACCATATAGTTGGCTAAATGAACAAAACAACGTAATTTTATTGTTTATTGTATATATATATATATATATATATATATATATATATATATATATATATATATATATATATACATATACATACATACATACACACACATACACACACACACACACACACATCCACACACACCAAAACATTAAAATGGTGCTGAAAGTTGATCTAAAGTATTACTATAAATGACATCACTTTAGACTAATCAAAGCATGTTTTGTGGAATTTTTCTCATGACATTAAATTTTGTTAGACATAAATGACTTCATTTGTTTTCATCAAATACAGACAAAAATGCACAAAACATTCACATGCAGCACTTTGATGCACAAATACAGCAAACTATTAACACTTTGTAAACAAACAGAGTTAAAATGTCTTCAGAATGAACAATCACTGAAACAGTGCAACACTTTTTGAGTACTTTTGGACAAACTTTATTAAAAAGCTGTAATGTGTTTTTAAAACACATCAGAAGATGGATAAACATTGTGCGTTTTAACAGACAAAAATAAACACTTGAAAAAAGTTTTGTTCTGTCACGCAAAATTTGCTATAGCTGGTGTATAAATGGCAAAAAAATCACAATGCAGAAAAAATTCTTTACTGATACTATGCGGGACTGCTGAGCTATATGAACCTGTTTTCTGGCTTGCTAACTATTAAGTCTACAACACTTACCTCACTTACTACAGCTGTCATTTATGAACCTATTTAGGACTGGAGTGTTGTGACAAAAACTGGAAAATATCTAGTTATTTTCCAATATGACAACCTTAAATTATGTACTATAATGAAGTATTTTAATGATAAAATCCTAATTTTGTTTTTATTTGCCCAGTCTGAGAACCACTGCCATCAAGAGCTGAAAAATGAAAAAATTCAGCTAGAAACAGCAACAAAACACCGCTGCATATTGTCACTGTCTGAAAAAACCTTGCACCTCTAAAATGGTAGGTTTACAGGTGAAGGAAAAAACCTTCTTGCCTTTTAATGGAAATTTATGTAGCAAGATTTATTTCTATTCTTCTGTTCATTGTGAATTTTTTATACACAATGTAAACTAAAAAACAACAAAAATGAAGATACAAGATTTTGTCTCAACAGTGACGATATGCTAAAAATTAAGAGTAAACAGACCCCATCATAAAGAATGCTTAAACGACTAAAGGCCTTTGGATGCTTTGGGTGAATTCAGTACAGCTGTACATCTGTTGATATAAAATACAAAAAATCTCTTTGTGTCTTAGATTAACAACATGCAAAAACCTTTGTAAACAGTCTTAACCATCCTATTTTGTGGTGCCTGCAATCCATCTGTAACTTACAAGAGTATGTTTAAAGCAACTATCAGTATAGATAAATATTCTAAGAATATTACATGGGAAATGTTTCAACTTCCATGTGTTCTCACACACAAAAACACAACATACATTCTCGAGAATATTAAATTGGGAGCATTCTCAATTTAGCAATATGCCATCATATATAAACATGTCATAAACCGCTATTAAAAAAAACACCCAACCCCAAAAGGTGAATTGTTCGACAGGACAAAGAAATACCTTATGAATGATACTGTCTGGTCTAACCAAAAAAAAAAAAAAACCACACAGGATTTTTTCCATCGTCCACAGTTACAAAACACTCTGAGGAAGCAGAAGGGAGTGTCAGTTTTCAATTTCTGTAAAAGAATCCAAACTGTGAAAAGTGGAGTTATGAGGGTTTTCTTTTGACGTGTAAAAGTGCGCGATACTGCATTGCAATGCATTGGCAGGAAGCTTTATTTATGGCCAGATCTTGTCGTCGTCACTGGCCCTTCATCGTCTCATTAAAATGCCTTTTCCCATCCAGGTAGAGCATGGACTCTAAAGGGAGACAAAAGAAGTTATAACATACACTATAAAGCCCCACATCCTTCATTACCAACCTCATTGTCACAGAGAAATCTGACCTCCATAGCTCTGGGGCACAATAGCTGGAACGGCCTTCTCTACTCGGAACGTAAAGTGAAAGACGTTGGTGGTGCTGTGCTGTCTGGTCAGGGGGTCAAGAACCTCAGTGTGAACTCTGACCTGTATGTGCTCCCCCTCAGTGTAACACACCTAACCAAAAAAAAACAAAAAAAACAAGAGTTTGTGTGTAAAAACACGGAGTTCTCTGTGCTTCACCAACCATATAGCCAGATCCATACATAAACATTGCGCAAACACGTGTGTCGATCCTAGTGCTCTGTACGTTATATAATATTATCCCATTTTTTTCACAGTGCTGTGTTCTTGAAATAGTATAATTCTGGAAGGCACCTTTCTTAAACTGCAGCTCAGATTCACTGTGTAAACAGTGTACAAAATGTGCATATGATTGGCTATGATGGCAAAAGATGAGAATGTGCACCTGGCTAGCTCACATATTTTATAATAAAATCGTATAAAAATAAATCCTGTGCTAGAAGCTAAAACAGTCTGATTCTGATCCTCTACGATTCCGATTGTGCACCGCTGTATAACAGATTTTACTGCTGCTAGGCATATTTCAGCTCCTACCTGTGAAGACAGCAACAGCAGGGAGCCGATCTCTACTGGCTTCTGGAAGAGGATATCATCCACAGCTACCAGAATTGGTCTAGAGCCACTGTGATGAATGTAGCAAAGCAAGCACTGAAGTAAATGCAAGATTCTTAAACAAGCCAATGTGTGTGAAAACATCCCCGCCTCTCAGAACACAGCCAATGAAAACAGAGCCTCTTACGCAAATGCACAGGCATTGGCCCAGCCCAGCTCATACGCCTTCCTCATCAGGAAGCCTCCAAATATCCGATTGAAGATGTTCCTTTCCTGTATTGTAAACACAAACACATACACTCTCACCTATGTGTTATCAAAACCATAAAAATTTAAGTACTGTCCTATTATTTTTAGTTTCTTATTATTTGATTTTACACACTTATTATTATTATTATTATTAGTAGTAGTAGTGACATTTTCCCAAATTTTCTTCCCAATTTAACTATGTCCAATTCCACTTACTAACTATGTCTCACCCCATCACATGATACAACCAATTCAAGGAGGGCGAGCACCACCTTGCATCACTGGACAGACGAACACACTTACATGAGAAGTCAGCTAACAGACTACCGCATTGGCTAGAATTGTACTGAGTGATTGGGGGAGGAGGGAGGGCCATCCTGCCCAACACTGGGGGGAGGGAAGGCCATCATGCCTATCCAGAAAAGGCACTCACTATCTCCCGATGGATGCGGCAATGCTTAGCTGGTCGCACCACTTGAGAGACCCACGCAATTGTTATGTAACTTGATGTCCTATTTTTGTATTCTCCTCACATTTTAATTTAATCTTAACTTTGTTCAGCACTTTGGCCAACATCTGTTATGATCAACTTAATGACTATATGAATGGCCCATTTTTATTCTCACTAGTGGACTTCTGGCTGACCTGTGGATGACATATCTCCAAGCCCTTCATTTTAGCATCCTCCATCCACATGGAGTTGGGTGGAAGGATTCGACTCCGGAAGCTGACAGTTCTAGATGGGAAAAAATAACATTTGGTGAGCGTTAATAAGAATATGACTTAATGCTTGTACAAGCATTACATTGTAGGAGACATGCATTGCAAGGCGCTGACAGGAATCTCGTGTTGTCGACAGAACTCAAAAAACTGTCCCTTTCACTGTCATTTCACTGTGTATGTGTATTTAGGTAGAAACTTTACTTTGGGTCGAGAGTGCTGAGAAAAAGGCTGTGAACGACCGTCCTCTCTTCAGCTGTTGGTGCCACCTTCAGTAAAGAGGCTGTGCTCAGGTCCACGCGCCTTTTCTTGTTAACTGCCAGAAACAGCAAATTTGTTCTCATATTTGATATACGCATATCTGTATGTATTAGTATATCTGTGAGTAATCACCATAACAGTAACTGTAACCTCATTTGGGACAATGAACAAAACCCAAAAGAAAAAAAAAACATTTTAAACTGGACATATTAAATATGAACATGGCAAATCTATTCAGCTCTTACTCTCTCCTTGCTGAAAAATCTTCTCCTCCTCTGGCCCCTGTAGTTTCAGTGGGTTTACAAAAGCTGCCCTAAAATTATAAAGAGAAGTGTCTTACATCAACACCCATCAACTAATTAATGTATCAGGTTTATCTATGACCATCTTCTGTTGTCGTACCTCTTGTTCTCCGGATCTCGAGCCACCATCACAAATGTAGCATCTAGCACAGGACTATAAGCCCCATCATGGAACTGTGAAAAAGACAGAATTAACATGAATAAATATTCCAACATGCAAGCGCTACACAAAATTCTGTATTGTGAACCATATTTCACAGATTACGTTTTTTATAACTGATTTGATTCTGATTCTTTACAGCTTAATTGTCTGAGGTTGATTTCTGGGCCAATTTTTACTAGCCTTTTTTTTTTTAACCCAAATCACATTTTTAGTACTTTCAATTAGCCAAAGTCACAATATAAATAATATTTGCATTTCATAGGGCCAAAGTGAGATTGTAAATTACTAAGCGAAAAGAATAAAAAATAAAATTGCCTATTAAAATCACATTAATCAATTATAGCGCTGCACTGAAAGTAAGAAGCGACTGGTTATTTAGCACAATGACTCATGCATAATTATGCTTCGACACTTTGGTACAGATGTAGCAGCAATCAAATCAAGAGTGTGGACTTAACTCACAATAAATCAAGAAATAACCTAGAAAAAAAAAACAACAACAAAACTGTCATTCATATTTGGAGCACAAATTTGCTGATTCCAATCAGACATCCTTAATTGCTACACACAGCAAATGCAATTTGCCATGCAATATGCTAAAAACACCTTTAACAATATGGTTAACTGTCCTGCATTATTTTGACCAAAATGCTTTATGTTTGCTGAATTGTATCAATGCTTTATCCTTAATCAAAGAGGGTCTGTGATTGGTCAGCACTCTCACAGCACATATTAAAATGCTCAGTGATTGGCTAAAGGCTCATTTGCACATCGCAAACCTCTGTGATATGAGTACTATAGACACAGACAAAAGAATTGTTTGACAAAATACTTTTTTTTTTTTTATAAACATTTCCTACTTAATCTATTTATCATCACTAACAAATGCTAAAAGTCAGTAGTCACCCATATGTTTTCCATGAATGTCCCAAAACTTTTCAACTACTTCAAACTATTCACACTTTATTCAGGTCTTTATTAAGGTCATGCAGACTTGTCTACGTAATTGTGGACACAATATACAAAAATGAACAAAATGCAGTTAAATGCAGTGGGCAGCCATTTTAGACAAGTACTGCATAAAATTTAGACTGCCATTCATGTGGACGCACATCACACAGGCATATGGATCCGACAGACTGTGTTTCCTGTTTTTTCTAATTAGAAATAACTGTTCATCTTGAACATCATACCTGAAGATATATGTTTCTGAATAGAAATGACAAAAATCGTGAAATTTGTAGTTTCTAGAGTCCACATGTCTGTGTGAGCCAGGAAAGGCGTAATTCAGCACAGAGCATCTGCCCACAGCTTTCAACTATGCTGTAAACTTTTGTTCATTTTTATATTTCACAGTAAGTCATACTGTGTCCTAAACTACATCAACAAGTCTGCAGGACCTTAATGAAGACCTGGGAGCAGTTTTAATGTGTTGAGAGAAGTTTTTGGGCATGTATTTATGGAAAAGACTTGGGTGACTATTGACTTTTAGTGTTTATAAGCAACGTCAACCTCATAGCTTCAGCACTATACTAAAGAAAAAAATATGGACACCAAACATGTCTTGGTCGATCGACTACATCTGTGGTAAGTGGACAACTGTGTAAATTAGACTTTTTTGCCAAACTATGCCTTTAAATCAACTATATACTGTGCAGCCTTTACAGATACAGTACCTGTGTCATGTGCATCTTGGCTTCAATTGAGGTCTTGCCAACCCACGTCACATGACCTGTGAACTTGATGTCACAATCTGGGTAGATAATGTTCTTTCTCATGTCTGGGAAACAATGACAATACGGTTTTACAGTAAGATTACAATAAATTTAAATCATTTTATTCTTATTAAACCTTGACAACAATGATAACAGTGTAAAACTGATCATGGGGAGTATACCAATCTTGTCCACCAGGGCTGTGACAATAGACAGTGGGGATCTCTCCAGCTCTTTATTCCACGTGTGGGAGTAACAGATGAGCACTGTGGAAAAAAGCATGATTAAACATGTGATGTTGCAGACAGAGGTACATAATACTGTCAGTAAGTAAACGTATGCGACCCCATCACGTGTTCTGGTTCTTTTAGTAATGATCGCAGAAGCTTTTTACCTGCTAAACTGTCAAGGTCCTCCAAAATCCGACCAAACCTATCAGGAATAAATAAAGAAAAAGGGAAGTTCTTTAGAAATCGGTTTATAAAATGCATAGTTTCAGTCCTGAAATCTGATTGGCTGAGCACACATTCAAATACACAATACATACACAGCTACATTCTGTTTGAATGTGTCAAGCTTTGCATCAGGTCTAACAGTGGTAAAATCACTGTAGTGATCACTGTCATTCTGAGCTTACAGCTATCAGGGGTGAAAATTCCACTGATTTATTCTAAATTTCTGCATAATTAAATGGTTAAGTTGGATTGATGTGATATGCTCCACTTTAGAGAAACTTACTGAGTCAGAATTGTTCACATTGGCGGTGATAGGAACCAGACGTCTTCAGTGTTTAATGCCTCTAAAAGCTACAGCACAGAAAGTTACTACATGAAAGGGTTATGAATACTTTTACCTGATGCCTGAGTCATTTTTACAATAGATTTGAGATAAAGTTCTTGGCCTGAAATGTATTTTTAAAACACATTAATGGCAGAGTGGTACATGGAAGGAGGCAAAACTGTCCCCAAAGAACACTTTCTTTTTTAAATGTACCACTAGTTTACCATTATAAACATCACTTGTGTAAATTCTTTGTTGTTTCTACATAGTACATAAAACGGCTATATTTGCATTGTAGACATTGCCACCCCTGGTTCCTATAACCAACAAGTAAAGCACGCCAAGTTCAAAGAATTGGAAAACTCTTTGGTAGTAAAGTTTTAACACCATATGCAGATTAATATAAAAGAGCCAATATCCTACATTTTTCTTGTATTAGATTTTTTTCCCTTGAGGTCCACTCATAACAAATTTGTGGTTTTATGTACCAAAAATGGTCATCATTCATTTTTACACGACCGTTTTCATCCTCTCTTTTTATCCCTTAAATTTAAACAGGCTGTTTTTGTTACTGTGCCTACAAGACTGAAAACAAGCTCTGTTCTGACTGACTGCCCTGTATTGTGCCAAGGGCTGTCACGATCATGAAACTGTAGATTAGATTAGATTAGATTAGAACTACCCAAGTTAGACTTCTTTTATTAACATTTACTTAGCTGAAGCCAAATAAGGAAAATACATCTGGCTTACATTATGCTTGGTGTGATACAATATGATTGTGAAATGTAATGACTGTGGAAAATAACAGCAGTCAGAATAAATAATTGTGATTATCTGAAAAGTGATTAGGCGATTATGTGATAATTGAGTTCCTTCAATGAAAAAACATATATTACCAATTTCATCCTTTTGTGTATTATCAGTAATTTTGTTTTTGATTTTATTTTGTACAACATTTTGCTTTATTTTGTAAAGCATTTCCCTAAGTTTTATTTATGTTTTAGTAACTGCTTTATTTTAAATACAGGGCATCAAACAATGCCATACCATGCTTACATGATTTTTGTAAAAAATGTCTGTTTTTCATTGCAAGGGTTCATTTGTGACAGTGCCTCATTCAAAAAGCGCTCTTAGTCAGAGCTGATACACGTCAATTTGAATGGGTGGGGCTAAACAGCAGTAAACTGAATAAGTGGGTGTATATAGATGAGTTAGTTCCTGTGACATCACAGAAACAATGAATTTAAAACAGGCTGTTTTTGTATCTTAGTTTCCATTATGTAAATCGCATGGTCTGGGCAGTAAATGGTACGTCTTGAAACTCCTTTATTAAAAAACACAAAGGAGATTCACTATTCCAATGTATTAATACTTAATTAAAGTATTAAAATATAATTACTGGTAGCTGATGTTTTTTTGGGAAGACAAGTTTCCAGCCACCTGCTGTATTACCATGCTGCTGCAGGTGACTGGTGTATTTACGATACCTGACAGTGTTGTGGTAGTTGAGGTATTTCTCCCTGAGCGAAGGCTGTGTACCCAGAGGAAGATGAACCTCAATCATGCTGTCCTTCATCGTCTTTGCTGGCAGCTCGCTCTGACTGCTAGCCAGGTGCTCACTCAGTGATGCTCTCTCCGCCAACGCCTGTTGATGGTCTCTGCAAGAGGAACAGTGACTGTGTTAAGTTTTTGGTGATTTATTAATTAGAGCTAGATGTCTTACACAGATGTAATAAGTTGGGATGATTTTGTTAGTTCTAATGAGATACTATCTGTAAAAAAACCCCACAATATTTCATAAAGACTGTGATGCTTACTTCCAGTTGGTTGATGCTCCTACGATTTGTCTTAGCCTGTTGCGTACTGTATAAGACAAAAAGTCAATCGGCAAAATCTAATGCATTACCATGCTACAGATGCACCGCATGCATGCTTTCATATCATCTCAACCAGACTGAAACTGTACAAGCCTCAGACACCAACAGGGCAATACTTGTCCAATGTCTGGTGTTTTCGCTGGTCATGCTAAAACTACTGACAGCTGCCTAATGAATAGATTTACAAATGAAAATGCATCTGACCGTGGACTACGAGGAAATCTCAATAAATGGTTACTATTGAGATGATATGACAAGAAACAGTAGAGGAAAAATGCCTGAACACAGCATACGTATAGAGAACTGGAAAACAAAATAAACCCTTAAGATTCTCTATCTATAAGTTCAAATACAGTGCTTTTTAATATATAGGATTTCACACATGACACAAGAAAAATTAAAAAGAAAAATTGGTTTGTTAATAAAGCCACATGCAAAGAGAGAAATAAGGATGCTTTAGCTCTTTTGTGCTGCCTGAGTTAATTAAGAGTAAAGTAGACAGGCAAGTTAGATATAATTTACCAACAACACACCATTGGTCACAAGCAAGTGTGAGTTTCCTGTGGAGAAACACAACTGGATCAAGAAACACTACTACTACTACTACTACTACTACAAAACACAATCTAATATAACAGCAGCGTAGCAACTTACAATCACTTTAAACCAACTGTTTAAACTAATCACTAGCTTTATTCCAGTACAGAGTTTAGTGCTTCCACCATGTCTGTATTACACTTGATTCAATTTAACTGGCTAATAATCAAACTATATGAGACTGATTCACAAGAGTATTTGAAATCGCAATGTCTAAATTACTCATTATAAATCTTTATATATTTAATGCCCCTTTTGTTATATAATTAAAGGTCTAGTTAAAGCAAAGGTCTCACACTAAAGCTCTTGACCTATAAACACAGAATTATACTCATAAATTTACTGCTTTTACATAGTTTTTTATGCAATTGTTATTGAATAATTTGTACAATTTTTGGCATCCAAAGCTATAAACCAATGTCAGTCTATGTCATCCATATTTCTGGTATGACACAGACGTCCATTACATTAGCCTTGTTGCTGCAGTGCAAAACTAAGGAAGCAACCATCAAACAGCAAACGTGTCTTGGATGACTGCCTAAGTTTCAGGGAAAAATTGTATAAGTTTGATTTTTGGGTGAACCAATCCTTTAAGTCAAGGTGCCAGACTGGATGGACGCACCAGAAGAATAATCTATGCTCTTATTCGAAATGAATTCATATACAGTTACCTTCAACCATATCAGGAGCTTTCCCTTGTAAGCACACCGGACCTACAGAAAACGCTCTGGATGTCAAGGACGTAGCTGTCTTCAAGATCCTGAACAAGACACAGATTGACAAAACCTCAGTAATAAGCTGATTAAAAGGGGAGCTCCACCAATTTTTCAAAAATTATACATAATTAAACGGTTGAGATGCAAACAAAGTCATTCAAAGTGGTTTGGTGTGAAATGCTTCGTTCTAGAGAAACTGGCCAAGCTCTGGTCAAGTCACAACTGTTCACAGTGCTGGTGATAGGAACCAGAGGTCTGAAGAGTTCAGTGCCTCTGAAAGCTCCCTCACACATAGTTACTACATAAAATGGTCAGATATGCGCTGCCTGATGTCTGACATGCTGTTTTTTGATAGTTTTTAAAACGTAACGCTATATTAATCCACTTCGTTTATGCCATTCATGGCGAAGGGGTACATGCAAGGCAAAATAGTGCCCAAATAAAGCTTTTTTTCACATTTATGACTATTTTACCATCATCAACATTACATACAAAAACTCAGAAGACGCGTGTAGGTTCACTGTAGGTTTTGGATAGTTAATAAAATGGGTATATTGTGCTGTAGACATGTGATCAAGAGTCTCTAAGATTCTCTACAGGGAACCACTTCAAACCACTGTGACTGACTCTGTTTACATCTCAAGGACTGAACTATTCAGATATTTTGAAAAACTGGTGGAATTTCCCTGTAAGTTGACAGGTTCTGTAGCTGGTATAATGCAGCTTGGTACAATCAATACGGTACAGAAGGCAAATGTGTTAAATAAAATAATACATCTGGGTGGGTGCAGCACTAGCAATCCTTCAACTGCAACATCAGGAAAATTCAAGTTAGCATCGCTGTTTCTCCAGGAGCTTCAACAACCACAAGCAGAGCTCAGAAAGAGTGTGCAGCTCTTACCTGGGGGAAAACATTTTGGCCTCCTGTGTTTCGCTTGGCAAGTTGGTTTATGAGAACGACAAACTAATGTAATTCAGCCTGTTTAGCAAAAGCACACGCTGGAGCAGGGCAGGGCTGTACACTTCCTAGTATATGAGCGACCCAACAATTTCTACCGTAATAACTCTACTACCTGCGCATATCGCCAACACTTAAACCGACACACTGGCCAAAATGGAAAATTTCTCCGTCACTATATTTGTTGAAAACATGCTTAATGGCATCCTAGCAGTCGTCTCTAGAGTGAGACTTTTCAGTTTAAAGACTAGGAAAGCCCCCTTCTGATGATGTATCTTGAAGGTAGGAGGAGCTTTTGAAAAACTGCTTTGGAGTGTATTTTGGGGGCAGGCTGTTTTGAATTTTGCAGAAAGAAGGCCGGTGGATAACTGAAGTTGCTGCTGGGAAGCTGAATATCTTAGCTTCAAACTGTCAATACAGTAGGAGAATGGATCAGACCTATTCAAATAACTGAACTCACTCACCAGGAGCTAAATGCTAAAGTTAGCATGGTAGGTTACCTTAGCTCATTTTGGTTTCTTTTCTAAGGCTGAAAGAGTAAAAAAAAGCTAGGGCTGAAAGATTAATCGTGTTTATATCGAAATTGCAATTTAAGAGAGTGAAATTTTCAATTTGCAAGAGCTGTAATATAAAAAATTATAGCCTAGATTTTCAAAAATGCTGTCCTGAGTTAGGGAAATTGGGAAAAAAAACAAAAAAACAAACAAATTTGTGAATTCTGAATTCTGTGGGTGTTCAATGTAATGATATTTTATCGTTATCATGATAAATTATGCCACAATACGCTTTTCTGAGCATATCGTGGATATCGTCACTGACTAACTACATGTTTCATTACAAAGTGGGCATAATTAGGCCTTTTTATGCAATATATCATGGTCATTTTAAAGGTGAAGTTTGCTTTGGGTCAATCTCAATTCAAGTTATATGAGTTTGAAACTCTTCTTCTTTCATGTCCCCTGTTTTATTGAGCAAATGCTTTTACTTTTAAATGTGAATATAACTTTAGGCCAGTCTGCTCTGGCTCTGACATCAGAGTACAGCTTTTATGTGTGACTACACTGTAAATTTTTACCTTACTTCAGTTGTTGCACATGCTATAATTCCCTAGTAATAAAAGTCTTGAAACATAAAAATGAAACATAAAAATGTTTTTTTGTTTAGCAAAGCTCAGACATACGAAAATACTGCTGTAATTTCTTATTATTAATTCTCTCTCATGGGTCCATGCTTCTGTATGTGTCCTTCTGCTTTGGTGTTTAATAAAGAGCACTGTTGGAAATCATGGCCTCCCATGTGTCTTACTCTGCAGTACATTTGCTGCTGGTTCATTATTTTGTGTTTTTTTCATACATACACAATTAAAAATGATGGTTCTTCAGGGGTTCTTTAGTAAAGAAAATGGTTCTATATACAACCATGAACACTCAAAGAACCCTTTGCATGGTTAAAGGGTTCTTTGCAACATGAAAGAGTTCTTTAGATTGATGGATAATGTGCTGTAGATGTTCTACATAGAACCTTTTTGAAAAGGGTTCTGCTATTGTTACGAGGTCAGAAGAACCATTTTTGGTGTTACATATAACCCATTAAACATTACTGTGAATTAAAGATTATTTTATAGTTTTATACAGTAATTAAAATGTGTTTTTCTTACGTATGACACAAAACAAACAGTACATAACATTAACAAAAGTACTGTAATACCTCACACACTGCCCTATAGTTACGTCCTAACATTATCCCAATCTGATTTTCATAATATCTGCATTTAGAGGTTGGCAGTATGGCAAAATGTCATTACACGATGTTTAAGATGTTTTTTGTGATGCATGATGTCACAATATGTATTTTTTCTGACATCTGATAAGTTTCAACAAACAAGGTACACCTACATTTTAAAATACTATGAGAAACTATGAATTCAGTTATTTGTATACAACATTTTACACTTTGTGCTGCACTAAATCCAACCCAAACCCAAACACAGTTGGGAAGTTATTTTTAAGCACTGATATACTAAGAAAAGCACTGTGACATACTGTGATATAATTTATCACGATAATAATAAATATCGTAATATTGCCCAGCCCTAGCCCGGATCACTCATAAGTCACATCATTTTGAATATTGTTAAAGGTCCAGAAAATTTAACCCCTTGACTAACATGATGAAGTGAGTTTGTAATTTTTTTTTACACACAATAAAAACAATCAACATCCAACGAAGAGCAAAAAGCACATTTTTTTTAATTGAAGCAAAACATAATACTCAACATAATATGCATACAAAAATATACATATAACAGTTTACATATACATGAATAAATTTGCCAGGGGAATACACATAACTAAAAATAAATATAAATCTATTTTAAAAATTGTTTCAAAGAGGGCTGTATTAGTTCAATGAAATATTATATTTCCTTTTCAAAGGCAACCAAAATGGGCTTTTTGCCTCAGAATATACACTTATAAATGTATAAATAAACTTTGCCATTAAATGTATGAGATTTATCATATATACATGTGGGTATTTAGCTTTATGAATACAAAAACCACAGTAAACAATACTTAACATCAGTATTATGAACAATACATGCACAGAGGTTTTGCCAAAGTTTTCTTACATATTGCCAGAATAATTGAATGGCTGTCTCTGTACAGTTACTACAGAATGTCGTTCAATGTATTGTTTAAATTTTATAAAGTAATTTTTACCTGGATAGATTTAATGTATAAGTTTGTATGACACTCATTTATTTTCATTAGTAATTAGGTATCTGTTAGGAGATTGCCAGACCTTCTTCCACTGAATGTTTTCGAGAAACCGATTCCAGCTCGAAACAGTTCTTACAGAGAGCAAAAAGCACATGAGTAAAGAAAACAGTGCGTCGTGACGAAATACAGGACCGTGCTTTCCTATTGGCGGTAAATATCTGGAAATATGACGTTTTCGTGCGAACGCTCCGCCCCCAAGCCTCATAAAAGAAGCGGATGTGGAACAAAAGCCGCTCGAAGAGTTGGAGAACAGGCAGGAGAGCTGCTGCATGTGAGCGCCACACCGCAGGGTTAAGATCCCAGACTGAGTGCGGAGGGGAAACTCCTGGGAGGCGGATGAAGAAACAGCTTTTGCTTCGCTTCACTTACAGAGGACTCGTGAGAAAAGGGAAAAAGAGTAAAAGAAGAAAATGGCCAATTTTAACTTGCGTAAAGCGGAGCCCAAAGACGTGCCTGACATACTGCGACTCATAAAGGTGGGCTCTGTTTACATCTCCTTTGTTTACTTAACAGCTCGAGTGCAGAGCTCCTCCTTATAACGGTCCTCTTGTATGTGCCTGATGCAGAAGTTGTGCATGAACGTGTCTTTAAAGTCAATCACTTTTTATGAGGTGCTAATCTGGCGAAACAAAGCCTTGCACCAACTTCTCTTTATCCGCTTTACGAGGCTGAAGCCAGCTTCTTATTCGAATTATTCCGGTCCACCTTAAATGGTGCAGCAGTTACATTCTGGTGCCTCAGGTGGACCGGAAAATTCAAATATGAAGCCAACTTCAGCCTCGTATCAGATATAACAGTATCCAAATATGACCCGTACCCTCTGTCCAGTGGTTTGTTTTCTCCCCCTTTTTGCAACCCCTACCATTGTAAGAGCTTCATACTGTTTGCCCAGCGTTTCTGTAATGAATGTAAATAACACGATGCACCCATATTTACAGGAACTTGCCCGATACGAGGAAATGGAAGACCAAGTAAAGTTGACGGAGAAAGGTGAGATGGTCCAATAACGTCTACAGGATCCGCAATGTTACTGCTGCACTATTTAAGGTGGATCAAATGAGAAGAAGGGCCAAAGTCCAGTGTAGCAGTTCTGTTATACAATCTGCCAATCGCACTCTGTCTAACGGTTAAAATCTGTGTGCAGATCTGCTTGAGGATGGGTTTGGAGATCACCCCTTCTACCACTGTGTGGTGGCAGAAGTCCCCACCGAGCATCAGAAAGCCGAGGGTAAGGGACCCCCTTTCCCCTCCCCCCCGTGTGTGTTTTGGTCAGGGCTCTGTTTGGGTCTTGAGTCGTGTTTTTTCAGCTGCATGTGGATGACCACAGTAAAAACAGGATGAAGGATGGCGTGGTGGCAGATAAGCACATTGATTATATAACAATAAATATGTATATACATACGGTGGCAGTCCACGTCTTGTTATTGTAATAACTGACCTATTTCTGTATATCACTTCTTGTACTGCCCCCTAGAGGGCCAAAGTTGTTTTTTTAGTGAATTCCTATGTTTTTTTCCATACATAAGGAATCCATTTTATAGATATACAGTGAAGCTGCGAATGTGTAGTTACTGTACTACTTTGGCTTTGTTTATGTGTGATGCACTCAGCCAAGCAATGTAAATACTTCTGTATATGATGCATGCATAAATGTATGTGTATGATCTGCTCAAACAAGTAATTTAATACATTTAATACATACATAAATGTGTGATGTATGACAACATAACCAGACCAACATAAAATACATAAATACAGGCAGGGGATGTTAAACATAACTAAGATGATATAAAGTAGAGACAGAAGATTTTAAACATAATTTGCATTTTGCAGGTTATTCTGTGATAGGCTTCGCCATGTACTACTTCACATATGACCCATGGATTGGAAAGCTGCTCTATCTTGAGGACTTCTTTGTCATGAAAGAATACAGGGGTCAGTATTGGCTGTAGGTGAGATCACTTTGTGAGGTTTTGTGTGCATGAGGTCCTCTAAACATCTTTCTCCTCTGCAGGTTTTGGAATTGGGTCTGAAATCCTGAAAAAGCTCAGTGAAGTAAGTACATAGCCACTTTTTCCCCATATGGTACATTATGAATACTTGGGACTTAAATCAACATTTATATATATCATTATCATTATTTCGGCCTAAAAGTACAATTTACTATTATTCGTCATGTTATGTAATATTCTGCAGCACAGCACTGTCTCCCTCTGCTTCATCAGTTTGACAGAATTTATGATTTTGTATCCTTTCTGTGCTTTCATCCCTCCGTGTTCTTGCACAACAATAGCATGTGTTACACAAATACATCATACAACCAATGGAAATCCTCTCATGGTGATGGAGAAATCCACTCATACAGGGGCTAGTAAATACTATCTGCAATGTTTGGTGCCCTAGTAACCCTAGCCATCTGGCTTCCTTCTGCCTTTGCTAGTGAGCAGACAGAAGTGTTCTTGATATACACTATATAGACAAATGTATTGGGACACCTCCTAAATATTGAGTTCAGGTGTCTCAGCCACACTCATTGCTAACAGGTCGATGAAATTAAGCACATAGCCTTGATGTATCGATAGACAAGCGCTGGCAGTAAATAGGGCGTACTGATAAGCTCAGTGACCTGGCACCGTAATAGGATGCCACCTCTGGCACAAGTCAGTTTGTGAAATTTCTGCCTAAGTGCTATTATTGTGAAATAGAAGCACCTAGGAGCAACAACAGCTTGACTCTGGAGCAGTAGAAACGTATTCTGTGAAGTGACGAATCACACTTCTCTATCTGGCAGTCTGATGGATGAGTCTGGGTTTGGCGAATGCCAGGAGAACATTACCTGCCTGACTGCATTGTTCCAACTGTAAAGTTTGGTGAAGGAGGGATGATGCTATGTGGTTGTTTCTCAGGGGTTGGTCTAGACCCCTTAGTTCCAGTGAAGGGAAATCTTAATGCTTCAGCAGACCAAGACATTTTGGACAGTTGCACGCTTCTAACTTGGTGGTAACAGTTTGGGGAAGAACCTTTCTGTGCCTGCATGAGCCAGGCCCTCTCGTCCTGGCCTCACAAATGCTCTTCTGGATGAATGAGCAAAAATTTAGAAAGCTTCCCAGAAGAATAGAAACTGTTATATCTGCAAGGGGGGGGTCACCTACATATTAATGCCTATGAATTTAAAATGTGATGTCATAAAATCTCCTGTAGGTGTCCCAATACTTTTGTCCATATTGTATATTTAGCAATTATGCCAATTATTGATGCATTGTTTTCTAGTTTGGTCTACTGTTTTCAAATGCTATTGAAGAATGTGGTGCATAAGTCGTGGTAACATGGGAGTTACCAAAGTTTATCACCTGCAACTCAAATGTAACTTATTTGTGGTAGATTCAGAAATTACCAAGTTTACCAGGACCATCCGAACACAACAAACACTTGTTTTTCATGACAGATTTAAAGTGTTACTTGTTTTCTACAGACAGCAGTGAAGACTCGCTGCAGCAGCATGCACTTCATCGTGGCTGAGTCCAACCAAGCTTCTATCAACTTCTACAAGCGGCGTGGGGCCTTAGACCTGTCTCTGGAGGAGGGCTGGCGTCTCTTCAGGATCGACAAGCAGAATCTGCTTAAACTGTCTGCCGAGGAGTGAGCTGGCCCGGTACACTGGAGTCCACAGAGGGGCTGAGGGGACCTGACATACCCACGTGTCTCAGTCCAAAACATTTTCATTCACCAAACTAACGAACAACTATTACAGTAATTTAAGTATAGCTAGCACTTTGAATTTGACTGAATATAATCTTAGTGTATTTTGTAGTGCTCTGTAATTATCTACTTAATTACTTCAATCTCTTGTCAACTAATGTATGTTTTAAACATTAAAAAAAAAGATGGGGGGGAAAAAGCATGTGTGTGCTTTCATTAGGTGGCATATATAAGGGCAGTATGGGAGGTCATTGTTGGCTTCAAAGTTGATCTATTAGAGAAATAGTTCATAATCAGCCAACTGAACTCGGTATTTCAAAACATATGGACAGTTACTTTCTTTACTTAGTGTTTCGAGCCTCACTGATATATTGGTTGACCAATAATATCAGCTGATATTGAGGTACCACAGACATGGCAAAAATCCTGATGAAAGCAGCAATGTTTAGTGGTTTGTTTTGTACTGCAATGAACAAATACCTCTGTTAACTTTATAAAGACTGCTTAACTGACAGTCACCACCTTATTTCTGTTACAGCAATGAACTGACAACTGATAAACCTGAACACAAAAACACCATTAAAATATTAACATATGCACCCAAACCTAACCTTTACCGTTATTGGAAATAAAAGATGTATTTAACAGAAACCAACAAACAAAAATCGCAGAAAGAATGCTGGGAAGCTCTGCCATCGCGCTGAAATATTATTATTTATAAAATATACTATTTAAGGCTTTGTGAGTTTGACTTTAAGGAACATTTGAGAACCTTTAGATGTCAACTGACAACTTCATTTTTGAAGATTTAATTATATTAGCTGACATGCATTTTAGCCATAGTATTGGTATCACAACTGGTATCATTATTTTCACACCGGTCAAGCCATAATTGTGATGCATGCACCGATGTACTCTACTGGTTGCAGAAGGGATGATGGAACAATTAGTTGTACCATAAGCAGGAGTAAATCATACATACATTTTGTGTAATATTTCATGTATTTGGGCAAAATTAATGTTTTGATACAAATAACCAACACATGCAAATTAAAACATAAACTTTGTTTCCAGCAATTATGTTGAAAGCAGTGGAAATGCAAACATTTCAAATAACCCCTGTTAATTGTAACCTGCCCTAGAAAGTCTGTTAAATTGTTGGAAAATTCAGTTAAGTTGAACCAGAAGGACTTTCCAGCCTAAAGACAATATGTCTGCAGTAAAATAAATATGATAGTAAAAAGTGTAAAACACAGCAATTTTTTACCTCAAAGTACAACAGCCACAGTTTTGAATTTATATACAGCAATATGGATTTCACGCACTGTTTCTTTTGGTAGGCTTTGTTGTCACCCTATGTTAAAACTAATCCTGTTATGAGAAGGGTGTACTTTAGCCTGGCTAGCTCTCACTGTGAGTTATTTATACACACAGCCCGGTAATCAGAAAAAATACTTAGGATAAAAAAAACTTTTATGGCCCAAAAAGAGACTGGAGGATAAATCTTGAGAAATCTCTGTCAGGTTTCTGTCAAAGCTATGGAAGTAAGTAAAGGTGGCCAAAAGGTCACTCTACTTTAAACTGTTTAACTACATACAAAACTTTCCATGTTACATCCTGTGTTAGGTTGTGTCCCGTTCTCCCGACTAATTTTGGGTGTAAGATGGAGACCTGCTGTGCATAACTGTGCACAAATGTGTGAGATACACACCCATGGCATCAGACCTAACTGTGCTATTAGAGCTTGAAGAGAAACTTCCACTGGAACATTTTAGTTGTACAAAAAACAAGAACAAGACTGTGTACACATCAACCAGAATGCTGGATATAAAAAACACCAACACTGCAACATCCTTCATTACAAAGCATGCATCCGTTTACCACAGGCACAACTTCTGCCCAACAAAGACAACGTAACTGAGTTATAATCAGACAACAGAGATGGACAAAAAGAGGAGGAAAGACCACACAGCATACTTAAAAACCTAAACCTAATCATCTTAGACTGAAGCACGCTGCCACAGTGTGCGTGAAAAATGTTTATGGATCATTTAAGTCTTACCTTTGATAACACTCGATGCATTAAAGTAACATTAGATATTTGCTTTGACATTTTAGCTTTTGTAGTAAAAGAGCATTGTAAGTAACTTATCAAATTCACTGGCAACAATGATGTTTTTAAAATTTGTTTTTGGCTTTGGAAATGAGTAGAAAACGACTCAGTTCTACACATCTTTTGACCACAGCTGGAGCTTTAAATTCAAACCCTGGCATGTTGATAACGAACTGAAGGCTTAAGGCAACAATTGCTAAGCAATGATTGGAGGGTGGAGAAAATAATGATCTTGGTGCATAGAGTAATGATTTAATTGGCCATAATACAATGACATCAGTCACAGAAAACATCAAATTATGTTATCTTAAAAATGCGGCTCAATAATTTTTTTTTCTATTTGCCTGTGATCAGTCTGGGAAGGCCAAGGCATACCCAAGCCTACCCACTGTTACTCCCCTGGTACGGAACAAGATAGATGATGTAACAGCAGCAGGCTTATCTGTGAGATACAGTTGTTCTGAAGATCAGATAGTAAATATATGGTTACTAACGGCCACTGTCTCAAACTAAAGTGGTCAAAGATCTGGAAACATCCATTGGCAATGTCAAAGAACAGTTGGAAATAGAAGTCATATGACCAATGACCACTTTATGATTATAGGCACAGTTATACAGTTATGTCCAGAATTACTGGCTCTCGATTAAAAACCAAACAACAAAAAACAAACACACAAAAACACTAGACCCTATATGCAAAAGTTTATATCTCAAAATGCCTGATAATTCAAATGAATTGGAGGTCATCTGCAGGGCTATGTTGTACTGTTGTACATAAATGCTGTCCTTTTCTCTCAGATACCTACAGTCGTATGCAAAAGTCTGGACACCCCTGGCCAAAAGACATCTTCTGTCTATTTTCTCAGTGAAAATATGTTCGCACCCTCTACACAGAACACATTTCTGGACATTTTTCATGTACAATTACTTTTTATTTGCTGAATTTAACATATTGGGGAACAAATAAAGTGTGGTCTGTGCAAAAGCCATGGCACAATTTATGTTTATTTTTCCCCAATATGTTAAACTCAGATTAGAAGTCAACAAAACATGTAACTTGACTGGTATCTAAATCATTCAATTATTACAAAACATAAAAAGGGCTTGAATAAAACACAATATTATATATTTAAAAGATCCCAATCTGTTTACTTTAAAAAAAGGCCAAGTAACACCACTATGAATTACTTTTCTTACATCGGAAAATGCAAAGAACTGACAAAAGTTGTTGCAGTATTTAATAGACTGCATAGTTAAAGTGAATTCTATTACTTCCACCATTACACTTCCCACTAATATACTAAAAAGGGTTTAGGTGCAGTCAGAAAGATGCCAAGACAGCCAGAACAACACAAGCAAAGGGTCATAGTGTTTGTTTGCATGCTGGGGTCACTAGGTCTCCAAATCAGCAGTTAAACAACATTTATGCCAGGAGACTGTTTGGAACGTTTCCCAGACAAAAGCCCAATTTGACAGTAATAAACAGATTAACACATACAAAGTTGCAAACACCATTTGGACTTTGATTGCAAGAAGTGCTGCATTTTGACCTCAGAATACAGAAGCACATAAACCTTGTTAAACTCAATGTGTGCGCGTCAACAACTATATTAACATATTGGGGCTGTTCTGGCAAAAAAAAAGGTTGTTTCTGTCTGGAAGCTGCATGCTGGTTGCAGGTGGACTGTCCAGATGACCCCACACACTCCACCAGAATAACCACAAATGACTAAGTGAATGTTTTGCAACTGACATTTCAGTCTCTGAATTAAAACTAATCACCTGATGTAACATGAAGAAAGCAGTCTATAAGTGCACTCATCAAAAACATGGGAATGTTCACAAAAGAATGCTCTGTAAGTTTTCTTCACTAAGCATTTAAGGAAAGGTTTAATATCACTGATCTGGAAAAAAAAAACTGATCTAAAAGGTTGCATGTGAGTAATTTGTTGCTGATCTAACATTGATGTAACAATAAGAAAAACAACTAATTTTTACATAAATTATTCTGCCCTTGATTGTATTTTTGGTGGAGTTTACAAAATGATTCATGGTGAATTCTAATTTCATAAAAGACAGATTCATTACATAAAAAGTGGGTGAACTGTAAGCCACAAAGCTGTCCATTTCCTACCCTGGTGTACAAGATTTAACATTCATGAGGATCTATATGTCTAGCATGTAGAAGATATAATGTAAAATGTCTTACAGTCCTCAAATGCCCACAGTACTGCGCAAAAGTCAGAGACCATCCATGTTTTTCTTTTTATAGAGATTATATATCAGATAATCCACTTGCATAGAGGAAAGGGGAAAGTCAAAGTAAACTACATGAAAAAACATGTTTCCAAAACTGTAGTTAAAAAACGATTAAAAGATGCATAGAAAATGGGGCTTGTAACAACAACAACCTGCAAAACCTGGTGGATCACCAAAATGATCACAATCAGATACAGTACTTAAAGCTTTCATCTTTGGGAGAGGAGAAAATTAAGCTCTGCTCTTGCTACACATCTAAAAAATTCAAAGGTTTTTCTGTCCATCCTTCCACTGTGAGAAGACAACTCAACACCATGAATCTGAAAGGATGTGTAGCTGTTAAGAAGCAGTTTCTTAGAAAAAGAAGATTTGCAGATCAAACAAACAAACTGCTGAGTCCAGACTTCAACATCACTGAATGTGTTTGGGATTACTTGGACTGCGAGAGGCAGAAAATATAACCAACTTCTGAGACTGAACTTTGGAGGCATGGGAAAAATAACCCTGCAGATTTCTTTGAACAGCTAAAAGCAAGTCTGCCAAAAAGAATAAAAGCTGGAATAAAGGCAAAGTTTGGACATCCTAATATTGAAAAATTTAAATTATATTTAGTTGTTAAGGCTTCTGTGTAATTGTTATTAAATATATGCTTTCCGTTGTTTTTCTTGCCATTAATTTGTACTTAACGGCTGTGTGGTACAGCACTGTCATTAGTCCCTGTACAAAAACAGACAACCTGTCAGACTAACTAATTTAACTGAGTGGACAACTGTTTAAAGCCTAGTTGGTACAGTCTTGCCACTATAGTTACTCTAGCAGAGTACCTGTTGTTAGATTTTTCCCTACATTTTAGTGTCATCTCACCAAAACACCTTGCAATCAAAGTTTCAGTGGCCTTTCTAACTACAGATGCATACATTAAAGGGGTACAGCACCTGTTAAAAGCAGTGATGTATAACTACAGTATACATACATCATCTAAACCGCTTATCCTTCTGGGTCGCAGTGGGGTGCTGGAGCCTATCCCAGCTCTCATTGGGCAGAAGGCAGGACACACCCTGGACAGGTCGCCAGTCCATCGCAGGGCAGACAGACAGACATACACTCATACCTAGGGGCAATTCAGCATGTCTGCATGTTTTTGGACTGTGGGAGGAAACCGGAGTACCCGGAGGAAACCCATGCAGACATGGGGAGAACAGGCAAACTCCACACAGAAAAGACCCAGGCCATTCTTGCTGTGAGGTGACAGCGCTACCCACTGCGCCACCGTGCCATAACTATAGTATAGTTATACTAAATTTTACATGAGAAATGTTAAACCTTTTTCCTTGTCAAAATGTACAAACTTGTTTCAGCACCTCCCTATTGGCTTCTATTATAAGTACATTTTGAGTCAATGGGTTCTATGTTCTTTTCTGAGTACAGGGAAAAGATCTGTTGTCTGTGGTGATCAACTCTATGCCACAGATGCAGGAGATAGATTTCATGATTTTGTTTTAGTAAGTCTCAAATAAAGCAGAAAGAATGAGTTACAACTCATCCAGAAAGAATGATTTTTTCAACATTATAACTATTTTGAGAAAATAAGATATGCTGTTGACAGAATACATTAGAAATGATAGAAACTAAATGATTATTTTGACGTACTGTTTTGAAACGTTCACTTTTGGCTGGTGGGATGAGCTGAACTCCTCAGCGTATTCTGCACTTTGAGAGGGAAACTCTTTAAATGCTAATGCAATGAGGCAAAAGCACAAGAGAGCAATGACTGCTCCTTTGATCTTTTCATGGGCACTAAAGGACCCTTGTGCCTAAATTGCAACAGCCACTTTTTAACACCAAAATGGAGCTTGCAGTAGAGTAAAATGTAAATAAATCTGCTCTAAAATGTGTTGTCCTTAACTAAACAGAGATTTGTTCAAAAATTACACATCAATACATGTTGCTTTTAACACATCTGGTTTGGAACTACAGAGCAAACTGAGGAATACTTTTTATAAGTAGTGTGAGGCAGAGTACAAATCATGCATGGCAATCTCTCTCTGTACAGCAAGCCTGGCTATTAAAACAATATACATCAAATCTCATGGTTCATTCTACTCTCAGAATCTGGGCTCAGTTACTCAGCACTTTAAATTAAACCAGAATCTCTTTGCTAAATGCAATAATTACAAGAACTCTAATAATTTGAATATTTACCACCAAGCTAAATTAGATCTTGCCTTTACAGCAAGAATAGGGCATCATCAAATTCAGTGATTTCTGCACTGATGGGATTTTTATTACTTTTATTAAGCTCTGTTTTAATGACACCCTTCGCCATTTTCAAACTCACCAGCAGACCCCATCAATCCCCAGATAAACTCTCCAGAATGTTCTCCTTTAAAAGTGCCCTTTAACTGGCAAGGTCTCATATCGGGCATCCATCCATTAATCAGGTCTATAAACAACACTGCTTTAGATTAGATAAAAGCTGATGGGGAAAGAGGAAGTATGAAATGGCACACTGCAAAGCGCCTTATGTTCATTATTGGGTTTGACACAATCCAAGTCGTCGCAAAATGTGGACTGTCTGTATATAAATAAACATCTTTCACAGTTAATGGTGTCTTCATAGAAGTGAAAATTACCCATGTTATGGGCACTGATGCACTCATGACAGACCCTGGCTTTTAGACTTTACACAGGTAACAATTCGGATGATCCTTTTTTCTTTGGCCAGGAGAACATAAACATGAAGTCTGGCCATTCTTCTCTGACCTCTCTCAACAGCAAGGTGTTTCCGGCCACACAACTGCTGCTTGCTGGATGTTTTTTGTTTCTCGCACCACTCTGTGTAAACTCTGGAAATGTGCATGAAAATCCCAGGAGTTTCTGAATCAATAGTTTCTGAAATACTTAAACCCCCTGTCTGGCACCAACAGCCCTAGTCAAAGTCACTCAGACCACATTTTTAATCCCAATTCTGATGTTTGATGTGAATAATAACTGAAGTGCTTGACTTCTGCCTGCAGGACTTTATGCACTGCACTGCTGCCACATGATTGGTGAGCACGTATACAGGTATTCTTGATGAAAAAAAAATGCTAGTGAGTAAATATAAATATATATTCTAATATGTATTTACTACATAGTTGTTCAGTCGTGTTCTGAAGTTGCCATATGTCATTCCAGATGAAGATGCCAGCTTAAAGGAACAGTTCTGCAAAATCAAATGTCTGAAGTTTGCTAATTTAGTTCTGCACTGGAGCTATGAGGCTAATGTAGCTACCAAGGAATGCAAGCTTATCGCTACTGTCAAAACAAAACCTTATATCTCCAAAATGGAACTTTAAAACCTACTTTACTTTTCATGTAAATCAATGGAACCAGACTTTTTGGTCCGTTTCTTTTGGTCCATCCATGGAATTTACACATAATGTAAAGGGCAACAGGCATTTTCAAATTACATTCAAAACTGAAAAATGACAAAAATGGAGATACAAGGTTTTCTTCCAGCGTTCTACTCCACGAGACAGCATTGTTCAACCTGCAAGTTTAAATCATCTCATGTTAAGTTGGTCAGTAATCTGAAACAGACTTTGGTTTCTGACACTGTTTGACACACTGTCATCTATAAAAATGGACAAAAGTATGTTGCACAGACTAAAAAAAAGTGCACACCTTGAAGCCTGAATTTTGTTTGCACTATTGTTAATTTCAATAGATGAGTGAACTTTAACCTGCCTTGCTTATGTATCTTAGCCTAAAAACAAGTCATGGAAGCTTTCCATTACCAAGTTACTGATTAACAGTCACAGACAATAAGCATGGGGCAAATTATTGCAACACTTGTGTTTTTAAAGCTGCATCACTCTATGCACAGATTTTGCAACACAACACAAATATGCCGCTAATATTCAAATATATGCAACTGTCTCGCACCCAACAGGTAACAGCAAACATGACTCACATTTATTAGTCTGTTAACAGCCTGAGACTTTATTTTACTGCCCATTATTTATTCCCATATCTAGTTATATGTAATAAATAATCATAGTGTAAAATAAAAGACGTTCCTATAAGTGAAATAGACCTCTGTTCATGTTAAATTGCTGTTTAGACAGAGGCTGTTATCATTCTGCTGAACATGTAATTATAACACTTATGTAACTTTGTTACAGCTATAAAGATTTAGCAATGGCAGAAAGTTCTAGAAAAGGAGCACTTGAGCTGAACTCTGATGTACTCCAACACCTGACACTAATTAGGTTCCACTGTAAAGTTGAATGGCTTAATAAAAAGCAGATAGTTGTATACAGAAATAAACACATGTACACTACAGTTCAAAAGACAGAATCACAGTCTTGAATAACACCAATTCAGCTGCAGATACATGCTTTGATGTTAATATTCTATAGGTTTTCTATAGTTTTGATGATGAACAGAGCTACAGACGATTCTATAAAAATTAAGAAAGCTGTACAGCACTGAGAATCAGTAACTTGTTTCCTCAATAAATCATTTATAATATCTCCCACATCATAAAAGTGAATACTGAATCATATCAAAAATTGTTTTTTAAATGCTAAGAAACAAACAAATTGAAAGAACCATGATTTAATAACATAACATACCTGCTTAAGGAAATGTGTGATATTCTCCTCAGCCTTACAGCGTGTGAGCGGCTCAGGTAGCTAAACACAGACAAGCTAAACTTGGAGATTTTCAAACCACTGCTCAGGCACTGCCGAACATAAACTAATCAATAGCTCTCTATTTTGATTTTCATTTGATTTTATCAGACTTTGACAAGCCAACACTCTACATGTGAATGCTCTGTTGTGTATTTAGCTAATAATCATTATACTTCTACACATAGAGGGCAGTGTCGACCACAACTTTTTTGCCTTAACTCTGTGTGCTCACACCTTCCCAGCATAAAATTATTGAGATGATGGTGATGAATGAAGCAGAAGATGCTGAAAAGAACCCAACAAAGCTCTTTATTTGGAAAATCTACAGCACTCAGGAAATACTGAACTTGAACTCACAGAAAAAACGCATCCTTTATATGCAGAGCAGCAGAGGAGGCGCCCGCCACATTACTGTGAGAGACTGTATAGATTTTTTTTGAAAATCATCAAAAAGATGGTTATCCAAAATATAAGCCCTTTCTCTTCGACCACATCACAAAACCCCCAAATTATCTCGTGACTCCTATGTTTAGGACCAAAGTGTGGCTAAATAATTTTGAACAGCTAATTTTTTTTCCATGTCATCTCTGACTCGTGTGTATCATTGTTAGTCAACACACCCTTGTTTGTACTGTAAGTATAGTCTGTGTTCAGGTAATTTAGCCTAATTTTGCTGATATAAACATTATTGAAATAATTAGTTTAATTTTTTTTCAGGTTGTAGAGCCCATGTGTCAAAACACAAGGCCTGCAAGCCAAGTCAGGCCCGTCACCCAGTCCTATTTGGTCCACGAAATTATTTTTATTTTCTATTATTATTAGCCTGTTTCACCCGGAGATGCACTACAGTCCCCAGCATGCACTGCAACATTGTTGTTGGGGTAAGGAGAGCGAAAAGCACACCATCCCTGGTGTCTAGTTCAAGTAAATAGGCAGTTTTAAAAAATACTATCTAAAACAATTTTTTTTTTTTAGAATTATTATTGAATAAGTATTCAATGCCTATTTTGCTGTTGCAGTTTCTGCATATTTTGAATAAGTAATGGCCCATTCAAGTCATAGCAAAATGTTAAGTAAAAATGAAATAACAACACAGCTGGCCCACGGATTTACTGAGATTTTTTTAATATGGCCCTTTTAGTGGTTGGGTTTGACACTCCTGTTGTAGAGAAATATTTGTTAAGGCTTTTAGTTCATTCTGTTACATCAATATGTTTAATTCATTATAATAATTCTTAAAGATGCTTGAACTGCTGAATCGAATCAAATCACTTTTTATTGTATCAAATCAAATCGTTCTTAATTCACAAAAATAGTTTTTGAATAGAATCGAAAACCAACAAATCGTGGTCACCTCAAAGATTCACACCTTTAATTGAGAGCTGATCCCAAACTTCTGAATGGTAGTGCAAATAACTAATCATGATAAGAGCCAATATGAAAATGCTGGAACTGCAGGCAAATATTATGTGGAAAAAAATTAGGATTATTACCATCCTAGTCGAGTCCCTCAGGGTGAAGAATTATAGTAATTCTTTAACGAGCATAGTCTCATTTTATTAGAAGTGTATCTGAACATGGTCACTGATGCATTAGGAAACACCGAGTAAATCACACAGTAGCTTAAATTATAAATACACACATTTAAAGATGAAACCATGATATTAACATACCATACATCAAACAGTTATTTTAACAAAGAAGGTTTACTGAAAAATTAAACACTGTCTGGCTACAAAATCAATTCATATTCCATTCTTTAAATATATGTACAAATAATACAAATTAACACAATGCTAACTGTGATGTAAACATCAATCCGTTGCAATAACAATGGTAGTGGCTTAAAAAATACTGTTTAAATTAAAACACTAGAGGACCATCTTCACTTATCCATATGATGCACAGAACTTGTAGGTCAGTTCCACTCAACGTAAATGTCAACGTAAACCTCTTAAGACATCCACCAGCAAGGTTAACAGTTTCATGCATATGTTGCAAGAAACATATATTGCAAAAGCAACGGTTTGTAGAATATTTGCATAAAGTACACACTTGAGATAGTTCCGCATCCCCTCACGTTGTAAATGTTTGACTGTTGTATCAATAAACTAAGCAAGGCCTTTTGTTTATGACCGAAAGGTGCATTTTAAAGACCAGAGAGGTGGACATACATAACACTTACTGCTTTCTCCTTGATAACCTTTGATCTGGCATTGATCTTTGACTGTTCATTTCTGGATAGACAAGGAAGGAAACAGATAAATTAGTAAAAACAAAAAAAAACACAACAACAAAGCAATCTGAATCAGTGCTGCACAAAATGGCTAAATTCCATACTGTGAGTACAACGGGCCTCATCCACCAACTGTTCTTAAGAAGAAATGTATTCTGAAAATCTACGTATGCAGTTCTCACAAAGATTCTGACATTCATTAATGTTTTCTTATTTGGGATTTGTTCTTAGGCGAAAACAGAATCTACACACTCAAGAACACATCATGAATCTGGTTTAAACTTTTTCTTAGGACCTTTCTCAAGAACAAACTTTGGAAGATTTGTGAATATGACATGGTTGAAGATTGGCCTGTGGTATGTTTTGACCAAAATGATTTACATTGTCTGCGCAAGCCCCAGAGAAACCCACTAGGAGCATCTGAGATTGGTAAAGATGCTCACAACACATAATAAAAGTGCAAAGGCTAATATCATGATCGCAAACAGTATAATGTACAACCCAATTTGAATGTATACATACACACTAAACTCAGGCCCGTTCCTTGACCAGTGACTGTGGATTCAGTCTATGCAAACCCCTAATCTATATGAATATAGTCTGAAAAGTCTAAAATTATATTAATGCAAAACCTGGACCAGGGTTAGCAGTGAGGTAGCAACTCTTTTTCTAGAGGATTTGTATCAAAGTAATGTTAAGCATGCCAGTCAGAGGAAATGTGATTACATCACAACTTGACTTGCTAATAACTAACTTCCCGTGGCCTCACCTCCTCCTTGGCAGACGATTTTCCCTTCCACAGACCCTCCAAAAGTATGCGCCCCTGTGAACCCCAGCGGGATATCTGATCTTTGCCCATCTAAAAGAAGAAATTTAAAAAAAGGAATAAAAAAACAACAACAAACAAACAGAACTGTATAAGGTTCAAAAAACTTACAACGATCCAAAGTTAGAGTCTGATGTCTCGAATCAGAAGAGTTTATTTTATAAATACAAAAATAATAAATGCATTAGAGCTCCCCGAAAATAGCACAGACAGTGGTATGCAAAAGTTTGGACACCCCTGGTAAAATGAAAACATGTTTTGTTGATTTTCTAAGCAACAATAAGTTAACACAACTCTAAGGAGAATATACTTCTCCACATTTTAATACGCAATGCTTTTTATTTACTGGATTTAACACACTGAAAAAAAATAAAACATGAAATGTGGTCTGTGCAAAAGTTATGACATTTTATATTTAGCACAAACAGTAAATGCACTAAATAGTGCAGAAGTGTGTGTTCTGTAAAGAGCGTGCTAACACTTAATTTTTGCATATGATATGTATATATGTATATATATATATATATATATATATATATATATATATATATATATATATATATGTATATGTGTGTGTGTTTGGGTGTGTGTGTGTGTGTGTGTGTGTGTGTGTGGGTGTGTGTCTACGTAAAAATGTCATCATCAGTAACATCCCTCACACATTGTTATAGGAATAGTTCTGCCAAAAGTGATAATATTGCTAATAGTGAATGAAGTAACATTATTCAGTGATCTTCCATTCATTGTGATCTATGTTAGCATACTTGGTTAAGCTTTTTCCTTCAAATAAAAAACAGCATCTTGCCTTCAAGAGAGCTTTTGATGCATGTGACATTTTGCACACTGAAACTACCCAGCCTCAAGTCCACTAATGTCTACATGTGATACATGTGATACATAGATGAGCCTATTTACTTTGTACAGCTCAGCAGGTTAATGGAAAAAATTCTCAAAATACCAGACTCCACCCTCTTTTCCACATAAGAGAATCCCTGGGGACAAGAGCAGGAAGGAAAGGTTGGTTATTCTAGAACACACTTCACAGCTTGAATTTCCTCCAGGAACAGACCCTTAATCTAGCTGGGTACAGAGAAACAAGCTGATCTAAAGATTGAATCACTGTATGCTGTTAAAATTAGCCTGAGAACAAAACTGACCTTAGCCTTTGTAGGTCATTTCCCTGGTCATCTTAAGCATGATTATCACCTTGTTTAAAAGCCATTCTTGTAACTGCCCATTTCTAAAATATCTTGTGATTTTTTATTGCGTTACCATGCACCAGGTGGGCGAAAGAAAAAATTATTTTAACCAATAATACGATGTTATCATCGAAAGAAAACACTCAGCTAGGTCAGAGACCCTCCCTGATAGCGTTTTTCATTAGGAAATACATCACAGTACGGAAAGGACATCTCATTATAATTTCCAATTCATGCTGACATTAAGTTAACTTGCCTTAGCCACAGAAGCAGCGTGCTGTGGATAAAACAGGGAGGCACTCAGAGTCATCAGCCCAGCAGGAAAAAGCAGCCTTTTCACTCTGCAGCCTGAAAACAAATGCAAAAACATGCAGCACCTGTCATTCTCAGTAATAAAGAAAACAATAGCTACTGGTTGAAAAGGAAGAAGATAAAAGTCCCACATTCACCTTTAGCGAGGTAAAGTCCAAGGATTCCAGAGAAACCCACAACACCAACACTTGGGTAGAACTCAGACGGAGGATCATTCAGAAACTCATAGGTGTCTGAAACAGTTAAACACATCATAAATCAATGTTTGAGGCTAAAAATCTTGTATGTAGCAAAAATGCAGTAGTATAGGCTGTTGCTACAAAACCTTGCACCCCCAATCAGACTTTATAGGAGAATTACAAAATGTAACCAATTATTAATCCAGATTTTTATTTAAATTAATTTTGGAACATTTTTATTGGTCCAATCTTCATAAAATGTGTACACAAAGTAAGCTAGGGTTTTCAAATGGTGCAAAACCCCACAAAACTGAGCTATTATATTTTAATAGGACATTGGAAGACATACAAGAGATTCAATGTTTTCACCTTTTATAGTCCTTAGAGATGTATCAACACCAGGCTCTATGGTCTTATAAAATTCCTGAAATTTTAAAAACGTACAAGCAGAGCTATTAAAAAAAATAAAAATGAAAAATAACTTACTGATACAAAAATATAAATAATCACAAGAAGCAATTTCCAGAATACCTCTGTTTTGTCCAGAGCATAGGTTGTCTTTTCCTAGAAAGTGATAAAACAGTAGGTAAGGCACAGATTTTTTAACTCATTTCTTTTTTCAAAGAGTATGTAACCTGGCAGGTACAGTAGTTATGGAGAATATAATGGACCATTACTTATTTTCGACGGCCACGCTTCCTCAAAATGCTGTCACAGCTCCAGTGTGGCTATTTGGAATGGCACTTACCTGACACCATTTTGTGCACGGCTCTGCTGATTTCCTCAGCACTGCTACACCCTGCTCCACTTGGCCAACTTCTGACTCCACATAATTCACTTGAGAGTGTGGGGTGGTATAGAGGGAAAGCTGAAATGCAGAGATTTAGCTTTAATACATTTAAAGTCAACCTAAAATCCATATTGTTTTAGCTTGTTAGTTCATGTTCATGGTCATATCAAGCACGGTTCATCAAAATAAACATGGTGCGAAAGACAAAATTTTTGTTTCCTGTAATCTTCCATCAAAATGCAGAGAGGTCTGCCTGCCTCTAATACGTCTTCTGATTTTCCATTATGTCACTGCAAACCAGCAGGTGGGAAAAATATTATAAACCAAGATAATGTTTTTCCTCCCCCTCCCATCACCCCCACCTATAATTAAATGAAAACACTCAGCTAGCTCAGAGACCCTCCCTGATGTCACTCAGAAACATTACAGTACATAAGGAAAATGTTCATTATTTTCTATTCACAACGACCTTAAAGGAGAACTGCACCGAATTTTCAAAAAAATTTGCATAGTTCAATTCTTAAGATGTAAAATCATGTTAAAAAACTGCAATGTAGACAAACATACTGATTCTCTTTGTGGTGGTGACGACAGGATCTAGGGGTAACAATGTCTACAATGCACATATAACCATTTATTTACTATCCAAAACATCCAGTGAACCTACATGTGTTTTATGTGTAAGGCTTAAATGGTGGTAAATCTGAAAATTATATTTTCTTTGGGTGCTATTTTGCCAGCTGGCAACTGTTAAAAACCATCTCAGTCATCATATTTGTAACCATTTCATGTAATAACTTTCTGTGAGGGAGCTTTCAGTCATTCAACTCTTCAGACGTCTGGTTCCTATCACCACCACTGTGAACAATTCTGACTTGCTAAGTTTTTGCTAATTTCACATCAAACCACTCTGAATTAACAAGTGTACATCTTAATGAGTGAATCATGCAGAAATGTTGAAAAACTGAGTGAATTCTGCTTTAAGACAATAACACTGGCCCACATAACAGACAAATGCAGCTGTAATGAAAAAAGTACCTCATCAACCATCAATGAAGGATCACTTTCTTTGGTATCACTGGCAGCAGAAACTGTTCCTGACATGAGGTACAGAGTGCCAGGCACAGCCACTGGCAGAGCCACCTGGATATGTAAAACATAAATGAAAAACAAATTCAGTACTCAGTGATAATCAATGACCACGCAATTCACAGGTTATGAGAAAATAACACTAAAATCATGCGAATTTATTTGCATTTAATGATTAAGTTCCACTGCTTGCAGCACTTAAAGGGGGTTTATTAGCTAGAGCCCTATCTAGGCAGAGGAGTTGGATTAAAAGTTCAACACTACAGAAACCAACTGCGCTGTAAAACGTAAGAAATTCAAGTGTGAGATATAATCAACCCCCCGTTTAATACGAGGCTGAAACTGGCTTCATATTCACCAACTTCTTGTTCAAAGTTTCCGTCCCACCTTAAATGGCGCAGCACTCGCATTCTGACTCCTGTTCAGAACGTAACGACTGTGCCGTTTAAGGTGGAACGGGGAAATTCGAATGAGAAGCTAAGCAGTCTGTTAGCGTTAGCATTAGCGCACTATGCTGATTTGTTTCTCCTCAGCAGCAGCAGCAGCATCCTTTTACAGACTAAGAGTCTTATAACCTAGGTATAAAAATAATTCAGACAAACTATGGTAATACATTTATATAAATGAGACATGTAACAGCCTCGAGTCTAGAAATTTACCTTAGCCAGTCTCCCACAAGTCAACATTCCCACTTTTTTTGTTTCTTGAGGAAAAATCAAGCTACGGCAAGCCAGTGGTTACAAACCTCCTGTCACCTTGAGGCTGGAATATGGGAAAGGCGTTTGTGAAATATTTTGGGGAAAAAAAATGCCATATTCTGTGCACATCGAACTAAAGAAAAAATCATTACAGCCTATTTTAACTCGTATTCAAACACTGTTTTTCTTAGTCGAATGAGAGACGGCATAAATGGTCTTCAGCCCACCTGCACTGTGTGCACTGCACTCATGTTTTCTTGTTCTTAAACTGCGCAGTGCAGGTGGCTGTAAGACTGCCCTGCTAGAAAAACCAGCACAGACCAGCATGGCTATTCACCTGCAAAACCTAAATATGTTGTGTTTTGGATGCTGGTTTGCACGACCATGCTGGGTGACCAGCTAAACCAGCACCAGACCAGCATTAGATCAGTTTAAATCCCCCATAAACCAGCTTAGACCAGCATGGAATTCATTCTGGTCTGTGCTGTTTTTTTCAGCAGGGTGGAGCTGGAAAACATTGGTCTGCTAATTTTTTCTTCTTTTGTAGTTTGTAAAATTGTTCATGTACTGCATTGAAATTCCTAAAAGGAAAACTCTGGTTTACATAATTTGGCATAGTTGTAATCGTTATAAGAAACATTACAACACATTATTTTTAGGGTTCCCAACACAGCAAATCTGTGACTTTATTAGAAAGTACAGAAATCACACACAGAGGTGGTCATTGCACTAGGCCAAGGTAGGCAGCTGCTTAGGGCCCCCATGAGCCATAGGCCTACTGTAAATACAAATGAGATATACTGTATATGTCCATATTAATTAACGTATCTTGAAATATATTCACATTGTGAAAATAACTTTTTTAACAGCTGTGTTTGTAGAGATTATTTACTGTGATTTTAATGCAGCCCAAATCCCAGTCGTGGTTATAATGGGCTATTCCATGCTGTTACAAGATGACACAACTGCGTAAAGACAGACTGATATGAACAAGGCACTTAAGAAATAATCTGCTTTATGGAGAGGAGGTTCTTCTGGGTGTTAAGAGGAGAAAAAAGTGATTCAAGAGCAGCAAAAAAAAAACACAAAAGCAAAAAGTATGTCTCTTCACTCCCAGAGCTAACTTCAGTCAGAACAGAGCATTGAACAGGCTCAGCATAATGCTAGTGTTGATGTTAGTATAGTGAGCTCCAGTGTTGGGTGATGACTCAAAAAAGTAATCCATTCAAGTTACTAAATACTTCTCTCAAAATGTAATTGGATGACAACTTTTTTCTAGAAAAAGTAATCTCACTAATCATTACTTCTAGATTACTCTGCACCACATTATTTCACTGTATTAGCAGATCATTTTGTTTGTTTCAAGCATTATCTATTAAAACCAGCAAAATTATCTGCCAATATGGCAGTAAAAAATATTTAGAAATAAATTAAATAATGTTGACAAATAATGACAAATATTGGGACACCTACACATTACACCCACAGGAGCTTTTATGACACCTCATTCTAAATCCACAAGCATTAATATGGAGTTGGTCCCCCCTATAACAGCTTCCACTCTTCTGGGAAGCTTTCTACAAGATTTTGGAGAGTGTCTGTGGGAATTTTTGCCCATTCATCCAAAAGAGCATTTGTGAGGTCAGACACTGAAGTTGGACGAGAGGGCCTGGCTCACAATCTATGTTCTAGTTCATCTCAAAGGTGTTCAGTGGAGTTGAGGTCAGGGCTCCGTGCGGGCCAGTCAAGTTCTTCCACTCCAAACTCACCCAGCCATACCTTTATGGACCTTGCTTTGTGCACTGGGGCTCAGTCATGCTGGAACAGTTTCCCCAAACTGTCCCCACAAAATCTGAAGCATACAATTGTCCAAAATGTCTTGGTCTGCTGAAGCATTAAGATTTCCCTTCACTGGAACTAAGGGGTCTAGGCCAACCCCTGAAAAACAACCCCATAGCATTATCCCTCCTCCACCAAACTTTATAGTTGGAACAATGCAGTCAGGCAGGTAAAGTTCTCCTGGCATTCGCCAAACCCAGACTCATCCATCAGACCGCCAGATAAAGATGCGTGATTCGTCACTCCACAGAATGCGTTTCCACTGATGAATGAGAAATATACCTGCACAGTACCTTTATTTCCAACTGTGCACAGAAGAAAAATGCACTGATTTCTGATTAGCATTGGCTTTCAGGCTAAGATATCAAATATGACACCATGCATAGGCCTAGATTACAAAAACGGTTATAATATTAAAAAGATTAACCAATATCATTGTCCACTTATTAGAAGACTTTGTTTCTGTTGTTAACAGTTTTCACTTGACATATTTGCACAGATTAATGTGTAATACATTTAAATAAACTAATACTCAATAGTTCACTGGTGGGGGCACAATGTCAACATCTTTTGGGGTGAATGGAGAAGAAAGCACTATTCCAAACTTGTCCCTCAGTAATTCAGTAATTTCTTCTTCTGTGAGGTCAGTTTTGGTTTTCACAGGCTGGTCCCCCTCGGTAGGCAAGCTGGAGATGATCAGTTTGCGGCCTATGATTGTAATCCTTCCATCTGCTAACAGCAGGGAGCATAAGGACTTGCAGAAGAAGATGGAGCTGAGGGAGCTCTGGTGGTAGTCACACATGGCTCTGAAATCCTCCCTCTGACACGGCTCAAGGGTGAACTTGTACAATGCATTCCATGCAGTGTCCTGTTCTGGCTTCACAGCATCACCCCCTGACTGCACTTCCATGAAGACCAGCTTATCCTGAGCCCGTAGGCGATACACACCATGGCTCTGCCTTTGGGGACTGTCTGTCTCAAGAGAAAGAGGGAGCTGGAAACCAGACCCGAAACCCACATCACAGAGCCACCGGTGCCCATCAAGGGTCACCATCATGATAAAGTGGTCAAACGGTGGACCATAGGCTCCCGTGAAGCGGTTCTTCACCTGAGCAGCGAGGATATGGACCTCAAAACCCAGTTGGCTTAAAAGCCAAGAGAAAAGTCCGTTGTTTTCATAGCAGAATCCTCCTCTTCTTTTCAAAACGATTTTCTCGTAGAGTAGAGGAAGGTCAAGTTTGACCCGCTCCCCCGTGTGAATGGAAAGGTCCTCAAAAGGCACCGTGAGCAGGTGGTTGAGGTGAAGGTGTCTGAGCGTCTTCAGAGTTGGAGAACAGGGAGCAGAGCAGCCAATACGAGACAAATACTTTTCAACATCCATTCTTTTTAGGACAACCCCAAATAAAAATGCTTGGCTAAGCCTACTAGCCTTCGACTTTTAGCTTCAACTGAGAAAAGACACTCTTCCTGGTTTAGGCTAACAACAAAACTACCGTTTACAGTTGTTAACCTGCCTTGAATTCGCTAACTTATGTAAACAATCGAAAACATAAGTAACGCTAAAGTAGCCTTAAATCGGGATTATTTTTTATCTCAGACTAACGTGCAAACCGAGCAGTATGTAACGTGGCACGGACGTTTTTGTTTTTAGCATTGCGGCTAAAAGTCTAGAAAACTCCAGCACAGCGACCTTTGTCGTGTGTGTGTGTGTGTGTGTGTGTGTTTTCGTACACTTTAAGGACAAAAAAATGTCCAGAAAACCAGGGAAAAAAGGACTAACCTACGATATCAGGACCAAAAGCTCATCACTTCATGCTTTTTCTGCTTTAAGAGCTGCATGATTTATTTTTAAACTGAGAGGGCAATATAATGTAATTTCAGGGTTAGCTATAGTGCTGTGTATATTTAGCTGTAGTGCTGTGTAGAATCAGAGACCACCACTGAGTTAATGTTCAGTCAAAACAGCTATTAAGTACAATTTAGTATAATCCTACTTGTTTAAGGAAGGGAAAGTCAAAGGGAAATAAGTGAAAGAATATGGAGTCTCAAAAACTGGACTGTACCAAATTAAAAGTAGAAAAAATGGGACAACCATGCAAGACCTGGTAGACCACCAAAATTATCACTTAAATAACAAAAAGAACATTTGCAAATCAAACAAAGAAGCTGCTGGTTTCCTTAGAACCATGGACTGACAACCCCAGAGGCCAGACATCACATATTTGAGATGACTTGCATGATGAGAAGCAGAAAATGTCTAAGACTGAACTTGGGAGGTGTATAAAAATATTCCTGCAGATTTCAAAGCAAGTCTCCTGAATAAAATGGAAGCTGTAATAAAGGTAAATTGTTGACACATTAGATACTGATGTGATATATTTAGTTGTCATGGCTTCTGTGTAATTTTCTGTTAAATGTCTGTTCTCTGATGCTGAAAAAGGAATAATTTGAACCTGGATGTTTTGACTGGAAATTGAATAAATGAAGGGTGTTCGATGACTTTTTCACAGTACTATATAATACATATATATTCCCACATCCTGAAAACCTGCTCAGGAAATCTGACATATGACTAAATCTGACACATTTATATCATCAAATAATCATATTGACTTCTCTTTTAAAGGGGAATTCCACAATCTTTTCAAAATGTCTGTATAATCCAATCATTGAGATATAAACACAGTCACTGAGAATGGTTTGATGTGTAATTATTAATTGTAGAGAAACTTATTGACTCAAATTTCTTTAGTGGTAGTGATGGGAACCAGGCACTGCAAAGTCTACAACACAAATACAGAGATTTTAATTCCGAAAATGACCAGTGAACCTACATGTGTTCTGTGTAATGTTTATAAAGGTAAAATAGTGGTAAATCCAAAGAAAATGTTTTCTTTGGGGACTATTTTGGCTTTCACAGACTACTGTATAATGCTGTCACATACCTCTCTGCCCTGCCTGTTTTTCAAAAACCACATTTTAGGCCAAAAGTCTAAAAACCTCAAAACTAAAAACTGTCTCAGGCATCAAGCAGCACATCTGTAACTTTTCATGTCATAGCTTTCTGGTAGGTAGCTTCGTGTGAACCACTATCACCACTGCTGTGAACAATTCTGAGTCAGTAAATGTCTCTACAATGCATCATTTTACAAACCACTCTTAATGGCTTTGTTTATATCATAACCATTTGATTATGGTTTTGATATAAATGAACAAAGGATATAAAAACAAACTTGTGTGCACAGGTACTACAGCCTGTATTTAGTCTCCATATCAAATCACCCAGTAAACAATCACCCAAATGATGTATCCATTTATAAGTATGCAGAACTGCTGTGTCTTTTTGGGTAATTGAGCAGCATCAGCACTGTCAGTCCATGAAGTGTATCATATGATCCAATCTGAGATGTTAGATCTGGAGTACTCCGATTTAATCAGACTGGACACATGAGCAGGGAGGACACTGCTGTTGGTGACCACCTGACTGCTGTCCTGTGTGAGCTGAGAAAACTCACAGGGATCATGTTCAGAGAGAACAACCTGTTTATCTGCACAGAGAAAGATGTAGGGGTCAGTAATCAGCCAGCAGGGGATGCTATAAGAAAGCTAAAGTGACAGCATTACCTTTTTTGAAAGCTGAGGAATTACTGATCCCCACATCCTTCCATTCGTTTAAGTACCTGAGTAAAACACAATGAATAGTTAAACCCTTAAACTGCAGATTCATTATTCAGTAACTATATGACATTATTCAGTAACTGCTATAAATAATTAATTAACTACTGTAAGCTAATAAGTTGTGAGAGTGAGGAAGTGTAGGCCCACATGCAGGCCTTTGAAGTCTAATAGGTTAAAGTGATAGTACCGTATATATTATATTCATTTAATCATGCATTCTGTTATATATGTGTATATTAATCATAGTTGAATTACTCATCAAAGTTGAGTGCGTTGGTCCATTCAATCAGCTCATCTATCTCCCAATCCAGAATGGTGTCGGGGCCTTGCTGCTGGACTACCCTCATCATGCCCTGTGTGGAGTTCTCCACCAGCTGGGCTGTTTCTTTACGCTCAGTGCGAGCATGCAGGGCTCCCTCATCATACCTGCACACAGGTGTAAAGTCGTCAACGCTAAGGGTGTAAATTCCTCAGCTTACAATGATTATGATTCTTTACAAAACAATTTAGTGCCTTATGAGATTTGATATTTCACCACAATTTGATTTAATTATTTTGGTATGAGTCAGAATTGTGACTGCAGGAACTGCTCAAAGTGGTGGAATATAGACAATAAAATTATGGCAATTAAAAATATATATATTTCGAAATAGGCCAAGAATTTTAGTTTTTGCCACAAATGAGCAAATATTTTATTGAATATTATTTAAATTGATTATAATCTAACATTCCAAAATCAATGCAGTTGAATCGTCACCTTTAGATTTGTTGTCAATGCATTTTTGCACACCTAGTCAACACTGTCAAAAATTCAAATACTCAAAATACAAACTATATGGCCAAACATGTGGATGCCCCTACTGATTATTGAGTTCAGGTGTTTCAGCAACATGCATTGCTAGTATTGGTAAAGTGTAAAAAAAAAATTAAGCACATAGTGATGCAATCTCCATAGACACACATTGGCAGTAGCCCGGGTTGTGCTGAAGAGCTCAGTAAACATGGCACTGTCACAGGATGCCAACTGTGCCACAAGTCAGTTTGTGAAATTTCTGTCCTGCTAGATCTGCCCTGGCCAACTGTAAGTGTGAAATAGAAGCATCTAGGAGTAGTTACAGCTCAGCCACAAAGCAGTAGACCACGCAAACTCAGAGAGTGGGGCTGCCAAGTGCAACCCCACTGAACACCTTTGGGATGAACTGGAACACTGATTGTGAGCCAGGCCTTCTCATGGATGCTGTTATAGCTGCAGAGGGGGGCAAACTCCACTTTAAAGCCTATTATTTTGGAATGGGATATCCAACAAGCTCATATAGGTGTGATGGTCAGGTTTCCACATACCTTTAGCTATTAAGTGTACTCAACAATACTAGAATATATAATATATACAGTTATAAAGTGCCATTTTCTGGTGCACTCACATTTTTTTCATCCACTCAATTTTCCGGATCTTCTTTTTTCTCTCGACATCTTGCTGTCTACGGATTTTGCAGTGGTGGAATTCAATCCTTTTATTATTGGTGTTTTGAATCAATGGGTCTCCAAGGAGGGAAATCTTTCAACAGAAACCATATAATGAAGTCATTCCTAATGCAATGGTTATTCGTTATTATTTATACAGCTTTAAGTACAGAGTAGTGGGTGATACTGCTGCCCTCTAAGCAGCAGACTGGGGTTCAACTCCCTGCCTGAGCACCATGCTACACTTTTAGGAGTCCTTGGGCAAGACGCCTAACACTCCATTTGCCTACTTCCGTAACATGATTAAACTGTAAGTCGCTCTGGATAAGAACATCTACCAAATGACATCAGTGTAAATGTAATGATAAGAACATAAAATATTCCATAAAACACCACATGACATTTAAGCCTGACATATCATAATACATTAAAAATGATCAAATGATAGTCTGCTGATGATGTCGTCTAACAAATGAAATAGTATTTGTAACTCAGAAGGTATTAGGAACTGAGAGCCACCTTGCCGGACAGCAGCCTCCAGCCATTGTTCTCCACCCGACGGTACCAGCCAGAGTGGTCATCGTGGACTAAAGGCTGGCCATTATGGATCTGCCTGGGAACAGGCCTCTTCTGTCCACTATGTGTGTAGTCCTTTGGGCTGCTGGCGCACAGATCCACAATCGGACGGTGGGTGAAGATCTTGTAGTAGATGGTTGGAGGAAAGTTTGTCTAAAATGGAAGTATAAAGATCAGTTAGCAAAAGGAGAAAATCATTGTAAGACTGCACTGGCTTAACAGCCAGAGAGCAGCTAAGTAATTATGGATGAACACCAAGTACTTACTCCACCCAGCCTGAATCGTATATAGACACCTGAAGCAGCATCCAGCATATCAGCCTACAGCCAAACACATTCATACATAATAACTCTTAATAACTATGTTTACATGCTTGTTTACAGTCTCTTATAGTTTAAAGGAACCTAACAATAAACATATTAACAGGAAACAGACCACAGAAACAAGACTATTTGTATTATTCCATTCCGAGGAAGTTACTAAGAAATGAAAATAAAATGCTTCATTTCAGAACAGGAGGAAGAAAAAGGATTAAAGGGGAGTGTTTAAATTTTTTGCATACTTTAAGTATTGAGATGTTAATAAAACCATTCAGGCTGCTTTGATGTGAAATGGTTTATTGTAGAGAAACTTACTGATTCAGATTTCTTAATAGTGATGGTGATAGGAAACCAGGAGTCATGGTGTCTACAACACAGTTTTATTCACTATCCAAACCTACACATGTTCTGAGCTGTAATTTTGAAAATGGTAAAATAGTGGCAAATCTAAAAAGAAATTCTCTTTTCAGACTACTTTACCTCAGAACACCCTGAATGTACCTCTCCTCCATGAAACGATTGTTAAAAAAGTTTTTTTTTTAATTTTAGGCCAAGACCTTGTCACAAGACTGTCATAAGACAATTTGTATTTGTAACTACTTCAAGTAATAACTTTCTGTGAGGAAGCTTTTAGAGGCATTAAACTCAGAACTGAGACGTCTGGTTCCTATCACCAGCACTGTGAACAATTCTGACTTCAACCGTTTCCAACCAGTTTTGCACATCTAATCACTCTGAATGACTACAATTACATCTTAATGATTTAATTAGGCAGAAAGGTTGAAAAATCAGTGGAATTCCCCTTTAATGGGAGGAAAACTTTCTTGAGCTGAAATTTTATCCACGCTTTTTTTTTTATGGTAGGAGACAACAGTGCTGGTTGGCACTCCTGTCCCCATTCTGACCTGTTGACTTCCAGGTCAGAATGGGGACCTTTTACAAAAGCGTAACATAAAAATGCCCTCTTAACCTCTTAATGCCCTCTGTTAAAGTTGAATTTTTTTCTGTTAAAAAAGAAAGTACATTATAGAACTGTTGTAAAGAGAGTTACTGTAAATATATTCATTTTAGTTAGTTGTAATGCCAATCACCTATATTATATCATATAATGTTATATGATTTGGAAACCAATGATAACTAATGCTATTTGGCAAACATGAAGTAAATACAGAGTTGTGTTCTGATATGAGTGGGGTTGTTGGGCATGTCTCATCTCAAGATGAACATAATTTCCAACCCAAACCATATAAATACTAAATAGGAATTATGTCAGATTTTATACTCCTCCGTACATTGAGCATACAATGCCAGAATTCGGCGAGGATGACAGAGAGGGCAAAAATTAGTTACTTATACCAACAAAGTTCATTTTACTAAAAAAAAAACCAAAATTGTTGTGTATAGTGATAAATAATTAATCTTACTTTGTTACAGTTGAATTACCTCTCTGGGGTTGATGTATTTGAGGAGGAGTCGTGGGTCACCTTGACTACGGAAGTTCACCAGGCTCTTGAAGTATTTGAAAACAGCAATGTTCTAAACAGTGAAAGCAGAAAGCATGCACTGGTTTGATTACACTGGAAATATATCTGAGCAAGCTGGAAAGGGAGTGAAATGCAGGCCAATCTGTATTTATGTGTAAAGTGCAGTAAGGTCACTGACAACATGCTTCCTCCACATCCTCTGGATGACTCTTGCTGCCCGGTCATACACACTCTCCTGTGTTGAGTCCTGGGTGTCATTTTCCACCATTATAGCACCCTCAGATGGGGATGACCTAGGGGCCCTGTTGTGTAAATACAGGTCTCTTTAACCATTACTCATCTTACTCTTATGTTATGTACAATGCATTGGTGAATGAGTGGGATTAAAGGAGACACAGGCTAGTAAAAAAAACTGCTAGATGCTTGGAATGAACATCCAACCCCATTAGAATAACCACACCCACTCAGACAGCCTTCATACTTCCACTGAATAACCCGGCCCACTCAGCAAGCCTTCATACTTTCATCGAATAACCACACTCACTCACCCAGTCTTCATGCTTCCACAGAATAACCACATCCACTCGCCTAGACTTCATACTTTCACTGAATAACCACACCTTCTCACCTAGACTTCATACTTTCACTGAATAACTACACTCACTCCCCTAGACTTCATACTTTCACTGAATAACCACACCCAATCAGCCAGCCTTCATGGTTCCACTGAATAACCCGGCCCACTCAGCTAGCCTTCATACTTTCACTGAATAACCATAAAATGTAAAGGATATATCACTTCAATGTCTGCTATGAGCTTCAGATATCTGCAATTAATCTGAAGCGATGCTATGAAATGCAGTTATTCACTTCTGTTAACTTGCTAACATGCTAACGTAACATTGAAATCCCTGTTACCAGGCTAGTGGAAATTTGCACCTTAGAGGTGGCAAAACATGTAAACAAAAACAACTTACAAAGCAAATTACAAGGTTTCTACATAAAATATTGCTGTGTATTGACATGCTTGGCTGTTATATGCTCAGTATTTAGTGATTGTATCTGGCCTTTAGTGTAAAACAAGCTCAGAAAGTTGAACATCTATGGTCTGTATAGTGTGCGCTGCTGCAGCCATTGTTTGAGCTCTTCAACATGGCACAGTGATCCCACCCCTTACTTCTCCCCTCTACCGAGACAGCCAATGAGAGCAGTGATCATTAACATACAAAATCCACACCCAGAAAATGACCTTTCTTTCATAGAGGAGTAAATGACAGAGTAACTCATCAAAACACACCTTTAAAGTCTGAATTCAGCTGTATTTTGTTTTACTACTCAGAGCATGTAATTATATTTAATTGAAAACAAGAACAAAACATCCTTGTCTCTCCTTTAAAGCTGATGTCTATCCAACAGCTCAGGAGTAAAAGCTCATATTTGAAAGCCCCTTGAACCACTGATAACTCTGCATGCTAACACTAGCAAGGTTATCTTATCACTGAGATGTTACAGATAGTAACCAGGTTAATGTTACTGCTTCTACGCACCTGTCAAATAGGTATGTGTACCTAACCTTATCCTTCTTCATGCCTTTATCTGCATGGCAATAGCAGTAAAACCAAACAAAAACAGAGAAATTGAAAAAATAAACAGGCAAATTCTGAATTTTATTGCATCATAATTGCATGCACATTCCATTCATTACCATTTGACAAGCTTGAATGATGTCAACACATAGAAAAAATACTTAGACTATCAAAAGGATTAACTGAAATTATAAGGAATTTACAAATTACATGTTAAATTATATGACAAGATGCTATTTATTGCATGACACAACCACTAATCTTCAGTTCCCAACACAGAAATCATTACATTAGTCAGAAAGCTTTGAGGGAGGGCCTTCAGTAAAAGCAGATGAACAAGTAGGAAAAAAAGTCTCACTACCTGTAGCTGAAGTTGCCAACATCAACAATCAATGTCAAGCTGTGAAGGCTAAGCTCTTCTCCATGCAAATAAGTCACAGAAAACATCCACCTACCGCTGCAACTGCAATAATTTCATTTATATAAATCTGTCAACCTTGTTTGCACATTTCCTCCTGACCTACCAAGTGGAGCCCAAAGAACGTTACCAAAGCAACACAACAACAAACTCTGTAGCCATGGTTCAGAAAAACATCCGAATCCAGATTTTATTAACTTCTGAATTAAACCAATGTGTCATTGAGGGCCGTAACAAAAGAAACAAACATACATTCAATGTACAAAAATATACTGTACATGTACATATTTTCATTTCAGGAGCAGGCTGAGCAAATGACATTCATGATGACTAAGTTACTGTACAGACCTGTCTACCACTCCCACCCCCACAGGCTGAGCACAAGAGCGTCTAAATGGGTGTAGCTCAGGCTCGAGACACAGGGCTTCACTTTTTAAAATATTGCCCTCTTCGTAATGAGGTTTAAGCTACTGGTGTGACAAGATATAATCTATTATCACTCCATGATTATAGGACACATTTCAGTGTTGCATCAGCAGATTAAGTGTTGGCCTGTAATCTAACTTCATAAATTAGTCTAGTAAAAGGCAGCAGCATAAATAAATACACAGTATTATTGACAAAATATGTTAGAGAATGAGAACATAATAAAACGCTTCTGATTCTCAAACTGTAGTTTGGCTATATATTAATTTCTCACTGCATTCATTCATCTTATATCAAAGATATTAATAAATTAAGCACATATAGATATACAACATATTACCAGTTCCTTAATGGGCATATAAATATATATCAGATATATTTCTTTGTATTTTATTTCTTCCCCTGAGGTTCACTTAAGATATATGTGTGGTTTTATGTATCAAAAACAGTCATAACTGATTATTACATAATCCCTTTGACTGGTTTTGTTTCTGTGCTTTTAAGTCAGATATATGTAAATGAGCTCCTTTCTGATTGGCACTCCTGTATTGTGCTTCATTAAAAAAGCAGTCCAGGCTGAAACACTCCTTAAAACCTCTGTGAATGGGCGGGGCTAAACTGCTGTAGGCTCGTGACAAAGTAAATTTGAAATAGGCAGTTTTTTTCTTGGTTTTCATGAACAGATGAGGAAGTAGTATGTTTGATACTTTGGCAATGTTTATGTTCTACATCAAACTTTGTTATTAAAAAATTAGGAAATTAGGTTTTCCATGATACGAACCATGATATGAATGAATGGAGTGCCCAGAAGTGTGTCTACAGACAGAAGCACACTGAAGCACTGTGCGATACGTTTTGTGGTTCTGAAAGAGTTTCTTGCTATTATTTGAATCGCTTACCATTTATAGTGCCTGTGCTGCCTGCTTAAAAAGAAGAACACAAGAAGTGAAACTGATGTATTACTAGAATCAATAAAATGTTTCAGAACCAAAACATAACTTACAAACACACAGTTTGAATAACATATTTAAGCTTACAATGCAGACTTTTCAATAAAACACATTGGACTATCAAAGTCACACTTCCAAACGCACCACCAGAGCCAAAACAATTAACCAATTAATGTGAAAGGCAAGCTCAACCCACTGATGTCCATATCTGAAATTTTACACTCCACATGCTCTTTAAGGTTGTATGTGCACAAATCTGAAAAAGACAATCAAATTGATGAAGCCATGTGACTAAAAAAAGAGTTTTAATCACTTTATTTATCATATTAAATTCAGTCTTTTCGTCATATGGGACTACTATTTTTTTACAAAACAATGGAAAAATCTAAATTGTAAACAAAAGTGTAAATAAATTACAAAATATAAGTTATCACTTTAACCATATTCTGTGTCATTTTTCCTTGTCAGACCAAATTTAGTTGTTGGACATGAATGGGTTAAACAGTAACATGTATGATTACTTATATAGACAGTAGTTCCATCATTCCTAGTCTCAATAAACCAAAAGTTGTCATTACTTTACATAGTATTACTGTTTTATATATATATATATATATATATATATATATATATATATATATATGGCACTATGTGCCTTTTTACTTAGAAAAAGATCCTCAGTAGGCAAAATGTCAGCTTCCAATCCCTAACCACACAAATCATAGCCACAAATTTTATTTACAAAATACAATATTTGCCACTACAGTTCTGTTTCTTTCTCATAATCGTCATCATCATAATCACTATTAATATAGTATTCGTCATCAGTAGTGGTGTCTGAACTGGATTCTTCAAAGACAGACAAAGTGGACTTGTAGTTCCTTGATGGCAGGAACCCACGAGGAGACAAGCTGTCCTGTGAGGTCCTGCTACCGTTAGAGGAGGAGCTGGGGATCTGGGACATCCGCCGAGAGGTGGGGGAAAACGTTGGGGAAGGCGGTGGAGTTGGATCTGCTTCTGTATCCAGTGTGTACAATGGGGATGTCTCAAGGTTAACTGGGCTCCACAGACGGTCATTTGATGGCAACCTTTTTGCGCAGCCCTTGTAGGCATTGTGGACCGTAAGACTGCTTGGACTTCTCACACCATAGCCGGGTGAATCATCGGGACTGCTGATGCTTGAATGTCTGCTCTTGGTCGCAAACTCGTCCAAGCTGGTGAGATCACTGACACTGCTCTGCTTTGATCCAGTCGAGATTCGGCCAGGACCCGATGGACGACCCGAAACTACGCTACTAACAGAGACAGATCGTCCACGATCCAGTCCGTACATCAGATCAGCACAGGACATAGACAAATGAGCCCCCATTAGGTTCCGCCTCTGAGAATTTATTTCATTTTCTTGAGGGATATTCTCAGTCCTACAAACCAAAGTGTTCTTTCTACTTGTTGGGAAATAAAACACATCATCATTATGTGCATCCTCTGACGCAAACTCAGATGAATAAAGAGTGGAAGAGGGACCAAGGGTGGTTTTTCTGGTTTGTGGCATGGTGGCATAGCGGTTGATTTGATGGGGCTTAGGTCGGCTAGGGCTTTGTGGCCTACCCAGAAACTGGTTTCCATTTTCATCTGCAAGTCTTTTGCACTTTTCCACATTTGACAAGTTCTCATGTTCCTTGTACTTACATGTGAAACCTGACAAGGGTCCAGAAGAACGATGAGAGTTTGAGGGATTTGACAAAATCTGGTTCTCATGGCACCTTTCTTCTTTGCTATTGCGTTCAGAAGCCTTCAGTTCTGAAGGCTGTTGGTTAAAGCTCTTCGTTTTTCTCCTAGATGTGAAATCATTATCATCTGAACGTTTCACATTGAATGTCGATTTCAAACGATTCAAAACCAGGTCCAATCTGTTGCTTTTGAATCCTGTCGTCTCTCCCTTTTTAACGTCTTGATAAGTCGAATTCTCTTTGCTTGAAAAAGGCAACGTCAGAATATTTTCCTTCTTACTTCTTGAGAAGAGGCTTTTCTTTGAGTTCATACTCTGGATTGCTTGTAACGTTTCATGTGTCGTCAAAGTTTTCACTTCCTCCTGTAGAGTGGCAGCCTCACTACATGTGAGTGTACTCTGTGTTGAAGAGTGCTCATTGTAATTCAACCTTGTATTATCTTTGTCACACTGAGATGAAAACATGCCATCAAGTCCCTCATGAGGGATCTTCTTAATAACCATGCCACTCTGCGCGGGGTGTGTAGTCTGGGGGATTGACTTAGTAGCCTGACAGTCTGTGAACCTTGCATCCAGTGAGCTATGTAACATGCTGCAAGTGTCTAGAGAGACATATGAAGTCTGTCCTTTTTCCACTATGAGATGCTTATCAGAAGAACCAACTGGTTCTCCTGATATCCTGGTATCTTTTGGCATCCCCCTTTCAGTGTTAGGAGAGTTAGTAGGTATGGCTGAACTATCAGTAGATGCAGATTTGCTGTGCTGGTAGGACATGGGTGGAGATGAGAGGTGGTGCAAAGTACTGTTTAGTGTTGGTCTTGCAGAGATAAGGGTAGAATAAGGAGATTTACTGAGACGAGGCCCTGTTCTTCTGCCAAAGTCAGGTGGCAGAGACTGTGGTACACTGGAGGTGCATGAGTCTTGTGCCAAAACCGAATCCTGTGGTTCCACCAGGCTTAGGTCAAAAGTGAACCTTGAGGTTCCTATATTTTTATCTTCTTTCTGTATTTGGTCCCCTTCCAGTTTTAGAGATGGGGTTTGAGGACTAGACGAGGAAAGGGCTGAGGATGTCCTTGTGGTTATAGGTGGACTGGTTTCCCTTAAGTATGTATAGATACTTGGAACATGAACCCTTCTGAGGGGTCTAGATGGAGACAGTGGGCATGTCAGATCCGAAGGGCTTTGATTTGATTGAGATTGTCTCGAGTTCAGATAGTTCAACCATCTGTGTGATGGGCTTGTTCCTTCCACAGCAGAAGGCTCTTTCCTGGGTGAGAATGCAAGGCTGCTTGTGAATGTTCTTCTACCCATAGAGCTGGTCGGACTAGGCGAAAGGTTCTCCAGACACAAACTGCTTGTCTGTTTTATTGAGTCCTGAGTACTGAGGCCAGTTTGAGTCAGGGATATGGATGTTAACCCAGCAGAGGGACTGGCAACAAATGTCTGGGTTGTTTTGGGACTTGTATGTGAATAACAGGCCACTGTGCTTTTTGATGTGCTTGGAGTATTTGAAGTGTTGGTCTTGTTGGAGTTATTATCATAGGTCGTATTAGACTGTAAGCAAGAACTGAGATCTGGGGTCGTTTCTATCGGCTGGCTGTGTTTCTTAATGATGCTATCAGAAATGTGATAACTGTGAGAAGTAAAGCTTTCGATATTATTGTTTGTATTGTCTTTGGGAGAAACACATGGATAATCAGCTGTTCTGTGGAGGCTATTAAAATTAGAGCCATAAAAGCTTTTATAGTCAATGCTCTGATCCACTGAATCATTGTTCTCTACATGAGAACATTTTCTTTCCAGACTTTCCCTGAAATGGTGCTGAGGAATTCTAACAGTCTCTGATTGGCTGGGTCTTGATAGAGAGCTTGAATACAGTCCTTTCTCAGTTGAGTCAGACAAAGTTCTACTGGAAATGTCAAATTCCCTCTTACCTAAAAACATTGATCTCCTTGTTACCTCCATTTTTCTGCCTCCTGGAGAGACAGGAGAGTCCTCTGGACTTTGGAGTCGCTCCAAGTTCTCTTTGGTTGGATCATCTGGGGAAACTAGAGGAGACTGTGGTTGAGAAACTCTTAATATGCTTTTACTCGGCAAGGTTAGGGAGCCGACAGACAAAGCAAGCTGCTTCTCTATTTCAGTAGGCTCAGCGTTCCCTTTCTTAGAGTTTAACCGTCTCCAGGAGAGAAGCAGGCTGCTGGTTGTTGGCCTAGAGGTTGGCGGAGAGAAGGACTCTCTTTGGTCCCCAGGTCGTAATGTCCTTTTGTGTGTGCTGAATTCAGGGGAGAGAGGTGACTTGGGCACCTGACCAGGAACAGATATTCCAAATTCAACATTATTGTCCACAGTCTGTTGTTTTGTATCCAAAAACACAGGTCTTTCTGTTTGGAAGGTGGCTGTGAGATGTGAAGAAGATGTGGTGTCTTTTTGCCAATCGACAGCACTCCTGCTGGTTCTGGCTGGTTCCCTGAGCTTACTGTTAAACATCTCACCAGCTGGCTTGGTCTGGTTGAGAAGAAATGGCTGTTGGTGTGAACTCTGGCTGGAAGCAGAATGTCCACTCACCTGGATATCTTGTTCAACATCACTGCCGCCTCGCTTGTGTCTCCTAAGGCGCCCGCTCCAGTGAGGAGCAAGAACAGAGACTATGGTGGATGTGAACATTGCTGTAGTGGAACTGATAAGATGCGGTTCAGTCTCAAGTTTACAACTGTGATGAGAAGTGGGAAAAGAGGGCAGCGATAAGGTCCGGTTTAGTACTCTAGGAGAGCATGCAGACGGCTGGCAGTTAGTGCTGGCCTTTGAACTGCTGTCCTCTCCAAAAGGGATTAGATTACCTTGAGAGAGCACTCCTTCCGCATTCTCTCCGAGAGGGTCATTAACTACTGATTCCCTTGCTGCTCTTCGACTCTCAGTGGCTGGCAGCTCTGTCAGGTGATCAGAAGCTGGTGACTGTCTCTGTGAGAAGGTTTCTGCAGCTTGTGCTTGATCACACAGGTCTACGTCACGCTGTATTCCTTTAGAGGATCTGTGGCTTGATATGTCTTGTCCAAAAAGGGTTAGGTGAGATTGGGAAGTACCCTCTTTTTCAAAGGGTAGCTCTGATATATTGGCATCTTTAGCTGCTTTATCAGTTGCTTCTCTGAAACTGTTGGGTGGCAAAGCCTTTTCACATAACTGTAAAAACAGAAAAACAGAGAAAACACATTTTAAAAGCTTTCAACAAAAAGCTATTCAACTACAGAAATCCTATAATGTAGGGTGAGGGAAAATTAGTACCCCTGCTTGTATTACACAAAGCATTCAGAGCTAAACATGCTTAAGAAAGAGAAGAATGTGTGTAGCATTTAAACTATTACAGCAAATCCCCCTCTATTACTGTCACTGTGCTGACACTGAGGCTAAGCAAACAGAAATGCTTCACATTCCACTGTGTGCCTAACAGTGAAAATTGTTCTACATGAAGTATTGCAAAGATGCCTCAAAAATATAGCAAAATCAAAAGATAATCAAAGGACATTCATGATTATCATTATTAAGAGTTTGAGTGCTCAGTTAAGCCCACCTCTGGATGTTGGACATCAGCTGGCCTCCTTACAGCATCAGATTCTCTGTGAAAAAAAAATAGATACATTTTACTGTATCTCAGTTTGATATATAACGTTATGAAACCCCACGTTATGAAGTCCACTCACCATACACTACTGTTCAAAAGTTTGGAATCATTTGTCATTTTAATAAGTTTAATAGCTTTTATTTTATTCAGTAATAAGTTAAACAGTGCAGGCTGTAATACATTATACTATACACCAGAATGTATTTTAAAGAGGGAAATTTATCCATAATTCAGCCATTAACATGCAAAGTCATTCAAAGTGTTTTGATGTGATATGCGCTGTTCTAGAGAAACTGAGTCACAGTGGTGGTGATAGGGTTTAATGACACTGAAACGGTTTCCATGCTGCCTCATGCCTGAGACATAATTTTTATGATAGTTTTAAGACAAGATTTTGGCCTTAAAACAACTTTTTAAAATGCATTCATGGTGAAGAAGTACATGCAGGTGTTATAAGACCACATAGTATCCAAAGACAACATACTTTTTCACATTTACCACTATTTTACCATTATCAACATTTTACGTAAAACCTTCGAAGTCACATGTGGGTTCACTAGTGGTTTTGGATACTAAATAAAATGGCCATATGTGTGCTGTACACATCGCTTCCCTTGGTTTCTATCACCACCACTGTAAAGAAATCAGAGTCAGTAAGTTTCTATACAATTAACCATTTTACATCAGCCCACTCTGAATGAGTGTGTTTACATCTAAACTACAGAATTCAGTGGAATTCAAGATGGTTTATTTATTAAGTTTTTTTGGGAACACCAAAAAGTTATACAACAGATCATACACTGTAATTATTTATTTGTAGTAATTTCCTGATATGCTGTTTGCCTAGAGGTTTGATATCCACCTTTGAACTATGATGAATTCTGGATGTTAATTTTAATGTTAATGTTCATTATTTTAATGTTAATGCTAATTGTATTATATTATCATTCCCAATATTAAACAACGTTCTGAGTCATTTTAGCATTACTACACCTCAGCTCATCATTCTGGGCATATTTCTTCATTTTTATTTACAGCTTCCCAGTGTCCTTCTAATTATTTGAAACCTGTGAGACTGTACATCACTAGCATATCAGCATCATTTTATACCCTTGTCTTCAACTAAACTGGATGTATATTACTAAAAAACACTAGTTCTAAACTTTTGAGCAGTAGTGTGCACATAAGGTTTTAAAAACACATTTATTCTGCAGTTCTGGCCTGCAGTGTTTGCACCTGCAATATTCACGTTCAAAACATTTGTTGCATAAGCACTTCAACTGCTAAATCATCTTAATTTGCATGGTTAGCCTCAGGCAAAAGAACAGGGAGAGGAGGCTGTAAAACATAGCGTTGCTTCACTGTTCACTTTTTCACACGCCACGCACTGGCCACACCGCCTGTGTTTTCGAGCTTCCAAATATTCACCAAGACAACGTGGCCAAACGGGATGAGCTGCATTCCACCCTTTTTCTCCCAGACTAAGTATTATGGAGGTAAACAATCCGTAAAGCTGACTGAATGGGAGGGCACAAGGCTTAAGCTCTTTTCTGATCAGCCTGTCTCCTACACACGCATATTTACATCTGCATGTCATGCCCTGTGAGCTATGCTGGTCCTTATGGTGACAGTTCCAAAGAACCAAAAAACAGGTCAGCAAACTCCTCAAGCGTGCAGAGCTATTTGTTCACGCTTTGTATTTTTAAATGAGTTTAAACATGCTCAGAATATGTCGACACACCCTCCTCTGCTGCACACTGAAGCAGCACATGCCTGGAAACAAGTCCTCTTATACAAGTGTAAATACTGCATGTGCACGAATCACTGTGGCCTCAGACTCACAGGAACACACCCATCAGAGCATGACTATATAAGGCCTAGTTCAGAGTTTTCTCATACCAGCACACATAATACAGGTTCTAAAGGTCATCTTCAACTACAACAAGGGGTTGATGATTGGCACATTAAGTAAAAGCTTGTGACATAATAACAGCACCATTAGCTTAAGGAATGAATGGTATTTAATTGTCTTTCACCATTTGCTAAGAGGGAGAGGTCAACCAGCAGGGTAAAAGCTAAATTGGGTGCAGTGTCAGAGTCAGGTTAATCATTACTATGATGCTCATTGTACACATAACTTGTAAAAAGGCAAAATGTCCTCTCTGAAAAAAGGGAAAGTCACAGTGGACTCACAGGTCATAACTGCACAGCTGTGCTTCGGTGTTGGTGTCTGTTTCGTTCTTTTCACTTCTTTTAGTGGGAAACCTCAGTGACAAGAAGGAGGTGAACTGTCGCTGGTCAGTAGTGTCTCTCTGATCCTCTGACGTGCTGCTCCAGTCGCTCTTACTTCTCAGAAGTATTCTCCGTCTGATGTACAGGTCTAATGAGAAGCAGTGACAAGAAATCAGATTAGTCCATTCAAATAAAAAGTTTTCTAAAAGGAAAATGCTAATGCTAGACAAGTCGTGTCGTCATTTTGTAGTGACGTCATGCACATATGAGCAACTCCTGGACTAAGCAGTTTTCTCTAAGAGAAAAATCAATGGCGTTTTCGTTGCTGTGGCCCCCAGTGGTGAACAAAAACCTGTACTGGACTTTTGAATTATGAGGCTGTTAAAGATGTAAAATGTAAATAATGCATACATATCATACATGCTTCTTTGGAGTGGTCATTTGTAGATGAATAATAAACTCTTAACAGATTATCAGTAACACATCAACACCATATCAGTGAAGGAGCAGTAGTGAAGCATCTGAATACACTGAAGTAAATATCTTGCAGATGTTCTGTAGATACATTACTTACATTAAGTAGATGTATTGTTTATTGTATTGTTTATACGTTACTTCCATTACACTTCCATTCCATTACTACACTCGGCGGCCATCTTGGCAATGCCGCCAGACAGTTATTTCCAGCCACACTAGATCAAACTTCTATCTCTTTGAATGGGGAGAGATCTATAAAACCAAAACCTAAATCCATATTAACCTTTCAAATAATTATCTGAAACCACTGATGAAGTCTGATAAAAACAGCATAAATAATTTGTTGCGTCTGGCTCAAATAACACACCAAAAACACAATTTTTCAGCTTGTTCTGGCTATTGCTATTGCGCAGATCTCCAAAACGAGAGGGTTCTTCCCGCTTGCGGCTTAAACAGCAAGCCGATTGGAAGTTTCTCCATAAACAGATGCCATGCTGAGCGTTATGAGCTTTCTCATTCATGTTTCAACCAGTGACCTGTCCTCTTTTATAACATCTCTGCCATTACATGAGAGTAAATCTACTGTTAAGCTTCCATGATTATATTACAACACACTCAAACTGTATTCTAAAACTGTGTGGGGTATTTTGGTGAGGTTGTCAGTGTTATGATGTCAATTCAGTTATAACAGTATATGTATATGTCACCATACTTTGGCTACCTAACAACCTTGAAATTCCAAGGAATACACTCGGAGGAAAATGTCCATACGACAAAACGTAACCAGTTTAAAACATTTTTGTTTACCACACAGCGTGACCAAAGTATTTTTCCAAAACTACAGAGGAAATCAGCTTAGACCTGGAGCTCCTAACATGGGCATGATGCTGTCTACAAAATGATGACATGACACACATAAGGAAAGCCTCTTTTTCTCTATGAGAAAAATGAATAGTGTTCTCGAAAATCACCTTATGCTACACATAAGCTAATGCCGATGCGTCAAAAGATACAGACAAAATGGGACTAATAACAACCATGCAAGACCTGGTGGACCACCAAAACAGTGCTAAAAGCATTTATCTTAGAGAGAGAGGAGAAAATCAAGCTCCACTCTTGCTTCACATCTAAAAAATCCACAGATCTTTCTGTCCATCCTTTCACTGTGAGAACACTATGAAAGGATGTGTAGCTAGCAAAAAGCCCTCAGTGAGAACAGAAAAAAAGAAAAAGACGCTGCTGGTGTTCTCAGAGCAATGAACTGACCATCCCAGACCTCAGCATCGCTGAATGTGAAATTAATTGGACTGGGAGAAGCAGAAAATGCAGCAAACTTTAAAGAGATTTCTTTGAAAAACTGAAAGTGAGTCTCCTAAAAAAGAACAGAAGGGCAAAATGTGGACACATTAAATACTGAAAAAAAATATTATATTTAGTTGTAATCTGTGCAATTTTCTGTTAATTACATATTTTAACTATATACTGCTTTTTACCCTGAAGCTAAAAATTAATATGTTATATGTGACTGGAAGTTCCTTACTGGGGCATGCTACCGACGATTGATGCACAACTTGAGAAGCCTACAGAAGCTAGTAGCCCTCAATTAGCAAGTATGGCCTAATAGGTGCGTCTGCAATGCCACATAAAACATTCCTAATTATACATCAGGATTATGCCTGGATCAAAGCACCTGTGTTGTGCTGCGCGTCAGGCAGGTTAAACAGACCTATTCTTTCTGTAGATGTTAATAAGAAAAAAACATAGTAATAACAATGGTAAGCTGTTTTTGGAATCGATTGGCTTACTTTTAGTGGTTTGGAGGTTTACAGTTGATGTTCCACTCAGGCAATGACTGTTTCCACTCCTAAAAAGGCGAACATATCCACAGCAAAAGATGTATTAATCACACTATCATTATGTCCAAAGCAAGGCCTGTTTCTACAAACAAACATGTGGAACTCAGCTAGTTTGGGCTGGCTGTCAACTCTAGCATCCACTCCCTTCTCTTCAGAGCAGTAAACACCAACACCCAGAAATGTGATCCAGGACAATGTAATGCCACTTCGGTCCAGTGAGATGACATAAAACAGGAAAATACAGCACCATGCACAGGATCATCTACTCATTTGTTGTCATCTGTTATGAATCTAAGACAATATTCTAAAATATTTGTGCTGTAAGGACAGTAAATGCTGTTAGAATGACATACAGAAGGGTGTAACTTGTTACATAAGCTATTTCACTTTGTCCCAAAACGACTCATTAATTCAACCATGACTAATCAGTGTGGAAGAACATTCTGCATGAAATGTTATTTTAAGCCAACAGTCAAGAAACCAATGCAAAACCTGGGTCTAACAACACATCATATGCTTCCTGCTCTTATCTTCTCATGGACTATGTTCCTCAAATGTTCCTCAGATCTTTCTGAAGCATTGTTCGCAGCATGTGCCAGATGTCATGTCCCTTCAGGATCATAACAACAAACTGGCACACTTTCTCTGACCTAGATAAAAGCTTTGATACAAGTTAAACATTTCGTAGGCCTACTTAATCCTGTCATTGATTACTGGACACTTAATGTTTTGTATGAAGAGCACGCTTAGCTGCCAGCTGTTGCACAATAGGGGTGTTGCCAGTTTACAGTTAAATCACAGCAGTGCTTCAAATGATTTTACGTCTCCATCTGGGGCTGGTTACCATCCCACTGATCGACTGAGATCTGCTCTAGTGTTGGAGACTAGTTTAGAGTGCATTTCCTAAGCGATCTTCACAAGGAATTCTGTCAATTTCTCAAAATTTCTGCATTATTAAACGGTTAAGATGTCAACAAAGTCATTCAGAGTGGTTTGATATGAAATGCACAGTTCTCGAGAAAGAGAATCAAAACTGTTCACAGTGGTGGTGATAGGAACCAGACATCTGAAGTGTTTAATGTCTGTAAAACCTCACTCACTGAAAGCTATTGCGTGAAATGGTTAGGAATTCATGATGCCTGGGACATAGTTTTGCAAAAGTTTTGTGAAAAGCTTTTGGCTCATGGTTGAGAAGTACAGTTGTATGCAAAAGTTTAGGAACCCCTTGGCAAATTACGTTTTGTTCATTTTCTAAGTAAAAAAATAAGTTAACACATCCTCTAAAAGATATACTATACATAAACATAAAGTACATAATACAGAAACAATCTGCAAGTAAAAGCATGGAAGATGCAATCAAGTACTGAAACACTGAAGTATATATATATATATATATATATATATATATATATATATATATATATATATATATATACACACACACACACATTTTTTTTTCAGATATAACAGTATTTTACTCGTATCCGCATTACACATATAAACCTAGAAGATGTGTAGGCTGACTGGTGGTTTTGGATAGTACATTAATTTATATGTTATTTATAATGTTATTAAAAAAATGCCTATATTTGTGACCCCTGGTTCCTATCAGCACCCACAAAATCCGAGTCTTTCAGTTTCTCTACAATGAACCATTTCACATCAAACCAAAATCAGACTTTGTTTAAATCTCAACCTCTGCATTACACAGACATTTTGCAAAACTGGAATTCTCCTTTCAGGATTAAACGTCGAAGTTACTTTCAGCTCAGTGTTCTGTTTAGTAGCTTCAGGCTCTGCACTGGAAGCACATGTTCTGTGTTGCCTGATGGTTTTGCTGCATGTTTCACCACCCACGTTTCACACGCAGCAGTCACAACAGACTTTAGGGAGAAAAACGTCATAATTTTACAACATAGACCTGTTTCAAACCATGAAAGTTTAGAAAATTAGGCTACATTTTACAGCATTACTGGATCTGAGCGGCCTGCAGCAGAAGCAGGTGGTAGCTGATTATTCTCAAGGATTTCAAACGAGTTCTCCTTTTTCTCAAGTAGAATCTACTCACTCAGTTTCACTGAAGTGCTTCACATTAATCTTTTTATTTCATAACTGAGTTTAAATAGTTTTTATTTCAGTTCTGCTGGTGACAGCACCTGACTGCTCATCATATTTCTTACTTTGGATCCTTAAAACTTTATTTTCGACCAAACTGAGAAAAAATGTGTACCTAAAAAACAGTTCTGTGCTGACAGAGGCTGGATGAACCAAAACGCTTAGGTTTTTTGGACCTTTTTAAGTTCTAGCTGGGTATTGGTAGCTACACTCTTAAAAAGTATGGTTCTTCAATGGTTCTTTAGTGAAGGGAATGATCCTGTTTAGAACTATTTCAGGGTTAAATGGTTCTTCAGATTGATCTAGAATGTGTTGTTTACAGTTCTATATAGCACCAGAAAGGGTCAAGCTTGGCATCGTAACATTAGAAGAACCCTTTTTGCTGCTATATAGAACCATATACATGTTCTGCATCAGTGGTTCTACATAGAACTCTTGATTCTAAATAGAGCCATTCCCTTTACTAAAAAAACCCTTGAACCATTTTTTTGAATGTAGCTACCAAAAAAAAACAGCTTGAAAACTGGTCCAAAGTCCAAAACTGAACTGAGTTCTAAACAGAACCATTTCATGCTTAAAAAGTTCTTTAGCCTGATGGAGAAAGGGCTGTATATGGTTCTATACAGCACCAAAAAAGTTTCTTCTGTTACGATGTCAAGTTTGCAACAATCGAAGAACCCTTTCTGGTGCTTTACATAACAGATTTCAAAAGGTCCTATACATAGAACCATATACAGGACATTCTCCATCAATCTGAAGAACCAGTTCGCCACGCAAAGAACTATTAAAGCATAAGTTCTATATAGTCTGTATAGAACTCATGTCTATATATAGTCTACATAGTCTATACAGAACTCATGGTTTGAAACAAAACGATCCCCTTAACTAAAGAACCCCTTAAAACAGTTAAGACTTCATTAAACTAGCAATGCGTTTACATGAGGACGGTTTGAGCTGCTCCATTCACCTCGCTTCACGTCTTGCAGAACGAAGTCTAGGCAACTCCAAAGTAAGCAAAAGCGACACAAATCCTACTCACCCCACTTTCTGTTTCTCGGCTGACCGCTCCTCCAGAGAAGTCCTCCCCACGCTGCTGTTCACTACGCTCGGACGAGTCAACTTCACGTTCAGATCATGTGTTGACATTCTAGACGTGACTGGACCCGCTCATCTCGTTCTGTTACCTCCCGTTTAACCCCCCCGGGGCTGCCTCGCCATTACGCCTTACCCTTCATCAGCACCGCGGCTGGCTCGGCTGCTGATATCTGCTGACCCTGAACGCCCTGAACACAGGAAATTCTTCTGAGCGAGTTTGTGTGGTTCCGAGGAAGTTCCAGCAGAACAATGCGGCGAAAGCAAAAACAACAGCCTTATCGCCCATTTCCCGCACAAACCAGCCTTCAGACCGGAGAGCTGTTCGATTCCACAAAGGTCGGAGTCGATTCCCATTCCAAGCAATGGGAATCTATGGAGTCGATTCCAAGAGTCGATTCCGCACAACTTCCTCAGTTCTCGATTCCACAAGTCAAAACACAGAGAAGTGGATCTGCCAACACACAGTTACAACATTAAGTACGTAGTACATGACTGTGACACTGTGAAATGGATATTAACATATCAACTTCGGTTATTAGAGTTAGAGTTCAGTTACTGTAGGATTCGATCTCAGCAAGGCAGGAGAGCTAGCTAAATTAAAGGGGAACTCCACTGACTTTACAAAATTTGTGTCTGATCAAATTATTAAGATGTAAAGTCATTCAGAATGGTTTGATGTGAAATTATCTATTCGAGAAACGAATCGAGTCAGAATTGTTCACAGTGGTGGTAATTGGAACCAGGCGTCCAAAACAATTAACCCCTAAAACGCCACCTCACAGAAATTACACTAAATGCTTTTGAATATGCTACTTGATGTTGAGACAATAGTTTCAGATAGTTTGGAGATAAAAAATGTTTTTAATACATTCATGGCGGAGAGGTACATGCAGGGTGTTCTAAGGCAAAAAATAGTACCCAAAGAAAAGTTATCACATTTAGCACTATTTTACCATTATCAACGTTATATATAAAAACATTTTGGTGGAATTGCCCTTTATGAACCCACTTCTGGTGAGCACTAACAGCTGTCAGGCTGTTAGTAATGCAGTTTTGCATATGAGCAATAGAGGGAGCCATTCCACATTTACAAGCTTCAAGGACCTGCTACCAAATATGTGGAGGCCTCTCACCTTGCAGTGTGGTCATGTTTACCAGTTTCATGGTCAGATTTCTGACTGGTCAGGAGATGTATCACTAACATGGCCTCCAGACTTGCAGACAGTACGTGCTGCTGTTAGCTGTGTTGAAGTCCGTTTCTCTTTGAGTCATCGCTTTCCAGTCATAGAACATCCCATACACTGCAGTTTATTAGTGCTTATTTTGCGCACTTTATTCAGCTCAGCTAATCATTAAGGTCTTAATAAGCTGAATAACTCTGACAAACTCTGCTCCAACCCTGTCAGAGCTGTTCCTGCTCTGGTTCTCAGTCTCAGAGTGCCAGTGCATTACACATTTTGGCTCTACTAACACATCTGACGCATCTTATTAGTTGATTATCCAGATTTCTTGACCTAAGTCAGATGTGTTGGAACAGGGAAAATACAAACAAGGTGCAGTGAACCATAACAGTCGTATGCAAAAGTTTGACATGTTTGAATATCTAAGTGAAACTGAATTAACACATCTTCTACAGAGAACACACTCCTGCACATTTTAATGCGCGATTACTATTTATTAGTTGAATTTAATATATTGGGCTTATAAGTGTACCAATACCGACAACATATCAATTTCAGGATTGCTACTGGCACTTTACTGCAATAGAGAATACAGATACCATGAAGCAGTTTGAGTGATGTTTGCATGCATGCCAGCAGACAGAGCTTAACTGAAGCAAGCAGCATGTCGGCAGTGTGGGATTATTTTACACTTTGAGACAAGCAGTAGTAAAAAATTGCTTATTGCAAAATCTGTATCACCAGTATAGGATTTCAATATATCAAATTTAATTATGCATTTTAAGATAAATCATGCTAAAAAGGACATCAAATTTAGTATGTAGTATTTAGTAACTGTGACACGAAACATGTCTTTTACCAAAGTAAAATATTAAAAAGTGGAATGGTATAAATATCACTTAAATAAGGCATTTTTCCTGCAAATTTCACCTATTTCCGCAAATTTTGCCAATTTATTTGCTGAGTTTAACAGATATTTTTTTGGAAAAGTAAACATAAAATGTGCCATAACTTTTGCACAGGCCACTTTTTATGTTGTATTTTTGTTCCCCAATATGTTAAAATCAGCCAATATAAGGCAACCGTGCATTAAAATGTGCGAAACTGCGTTCCCTGTAGAGGAGGTATTAACATATAATTTGACCATGGGTGCCAAAACTTTTGCACAGTCACTTGATCAGATATCGTAGGAGAAATTCTCCTGATTAGCAGCCACTAAAATGACCTATATGTTTGTCCAGCTCCATCATATTCTCTACAGAGCTAAATAAGACTGAAATGAACAGTTATTGTAATCATTCAGGTGTGTTCTTCTATGTTCTTGTGGCAAAAGAGCTGCATTTCTGCATTTTACTGCTTGTAGTTCACCACATAAAAACATCAGTTCTAATAATGAATTTTGGGATCTCTAATGGAAAAAGATTGGTCGGGCCTTCAGCTTAACTCTGCAGAGATTAATGATGGAAGGACGCTAATTATTTTCAGCATAACCACCGGAAGCCATTAATTACCCTTATTAACCCCAGTGTGATGGGCCAAGAATGCTGGAACCAGATCAGAATGTTGCTGCATTCCATGTTGGAGTGCATGCTGTCTCTGTACTCACCGCAGCATAGCATGTTGGCATGGATCCTAAACCAGTGTAGTACATCATTAATCACATATTTATCACGTGCCAGAGATAAAAGTAATTAGGGATGGGGGTGGATACAAGCATATTTCTGAAAAAGGCACGCATAAGAGCCTAATATAGAAGATGAGCAGTAATATCTCCATTTCAGTGAATGTAGCTCCGAGCTTATATTATCAGTATAAATTAGCCTTAGCTTATTGAAACGTAACTAATTTGTTATTTTGTAACTTCAGGAAGCATAAAGATTTACTCAAAAACTGCAGCAATTATGATAATGAATGACTTAAGGCACTAACAGATAGAGATGACTCTTCTTTCACTGGTTTGACTTTGTCTACTTATTAAACAATATGGTTGAATTTGGTAATGAACTCTGAACTCTAAGCTCATTTCTATCTTCTCTGTTCCTGGCAGCAGTATGTAAAAAATTAGTGTCTCAAAGAATTACTTATTTTCTCAAAATGTTGAGAATATTGAGGGTATTTGATACATTATATAGCCAAAAAGTATGTGGCCACCCTTCCTAATTATTAAGTTCAGGTGTTTCAGCCACACCTAGTGCTAACAGGTGTACATAATCAAACACATAGCCATGCAAGCTCCATAGACAAACATGGGTAGAATGGGTCGTACTGAAGAGCTCAGTGTCTGCCACCTTTGCACCTCAGTACATGAAATTTCTGCCCTGCTAGATCTGCCCCAGTCAACTGTAAGTGCTATTATTGCCAAATAGAAGCAAATAGGAGCATTAATGGCTCAGCCATGAAGGAGTAGAGTCACAGAGCATCCATTAAGACATGGTTTAAGGAGTTTGGTCTGGAGGAACTCCAGTAACCCGCACAGAGCCCTGACCTCAACCCCAATGAACACCTTTGGGATACACGGGAATATTGATTGCGAGCCAGGCCTTGTCCAACATCTGTCTCTGACCTCACAAATGTTCTTTTGGCTGAATGGGCACAAATTTCCACAGACACACTCCAAAATCTTATGGAAATCCTTCCAGGAAAGGTGGTGGCTGTTAAAGCTGCAAATAAATGCCCATGGCTTTGAAATGAGATGTCCAACCAGCTGACATAGGTGTGATAGTCAGGTGTCCACAGACTTTTGGACATATAGTGTATGTCTCAATGTATCTTAAAATAATAACTCAGTATCTCAAAATAATGCTCTAATGACTTTTTAATTATATTTAATCATCCCAGAATATTGACTAACTGTCTTAAAATGTAATAAATCATTTTGTCAACAAAAATCTCAAAATCTCTAGACAATATGTCATTATTTAGAGATACTAAGTCAATATTTTGGGAAAATTGTTCATTGTTTTGAAGTATTAAGTCAATATTTTGAGTAAATAACCATTATTTCGAGATAATGAGTCAATATTTCAAGAAAATGGTTCATTTTTTCAAGATATTAAGTCAATATTTTGAGATACTTCTAAAAGAAACAGAGAAGTAAGAAAAAAAAAGGTGATAGTTTACATAGTGTTTTATGGCATGATTTATCTGGGTCCCAATGCAAATCTCTCGCTGCATATTGAAGAGATGATGTGTGCTGTCTTATAGTTTCGGTTGGACCACAGCACTGGCCATTGGAATTGGGCCAAGGAAGGTCTTACATATTTCATAAGGTGCTTGTCATCTGCTACATAAATTACAGCTGATCACTTGAAAATTCATTATCTCCAGGGAAGATTGTGACAAGCCCAATTCATAACCGTGGATTGATTTTCTTAAACAGTGGCCACGTTAAGCGGACACATTCCGAGCACGATTTGTAGTGGTTGGCGTAATTGAGTTTTTATACAGCCCTAAAAAAGTAATCACGAAAAATAATCAGCAAATTTCCCAGAGCACAATTCATCAAGCACTCCAAGCACCTCACTCTAAGTAATCAGCTGGACGGTGTTTAACAGTGGACGTATGTGTCGCATTATACTGCAAAAGTCAGTTCAAATAAATATAGTGTAAATATAGAGATCTGTGTACACAAACAGGGAACAACAGTATTACTGAAAAGCTGAGAATCTGTTATCTGAAGAGGCTTTATGTAGAGGCTGTTGTTAGAACATTCAAATACAAGGCATTTAAGGTGAAATCTGACACATAAAGCATAAATACTGTTGATAGGCTTAGAAGCAAGATGTTTAAGGAAAACTCAAGGCCTGCGGCAGGAAGAGATGATGGATGGTGTGTTGAATCACTCATCATATAGTGTGTCATTACTCCTGGTTGTGGCCTACCTCAGATGTTTGCGGAATGAACACAGCATATGTTTTCAGTATCTTTTATCACAGGCAGATTTCATACAGTGTTTTATAGCTGTATGGAAATGGGTTAACCCCTTTTAACAGTAGCCATAAAATGCAATTTCTGCTTTAGAGAAGGTCCCTCGGTTTTTTTTCTTCAAAAACACTGATGGAATATATTTTGATAGGAATGTATTTGATTTACAAAACTGAAGAAAACTAGATTTTTGTCTGAGCAAACAAATCAGCATCTATAAAAGTGTTTTTTCTTTCATATAAAATGCTATT